TCCCTTTGAATGCGTTTATCAGTGTCGCAAAATGGTAAACTCGCATTTTACACGTGAGAAAAATACTTATTCAATTCGCAGCAAAAATTTATAGATATTTTATTGTCTCTCTTCTCTCTCTCTCTCTCTTTTTCCGGTATAAAAAAACATATTCCAAATGCAGTGTTTGCCTTTGTTTATTTTTTTTCCAATAAAATAAAAAAGATATCCGAAATAATAATTATTTATATCATTTACCAAAATATATTTGTTCGCTTAAGTAATACGAAAAATTTTCAAACTATTTTTTCTTTCGATAAACGGGAGCAATAATAGAAATGTCGTCATGTAAATTATTAAGCAAATTGCCAGGCAACTCTGATTGCCGATTGCAGTTTGCCTATTGTTTGTTTGAATTGCGAGTCGATTGCGAGGAAGCGTGTGTAAAAATGCCACTCTTAATAGACCCCACATCCGAGTCCAATATTCAATGACAGTGAATTGCTTCTGTTTGCATGTGGATGAAATCATTGGTTTACGACCAGTAAACAGTAACATTTAGCTCCCATTGCCTCTGAATTCAACTATAGTATTTTGTCCCAAAATGTGGTCACTCCAACTTCCCCTTTTAATATAGTGAACCCGGTAAATTGGAGGACAAAATTTTTTAATTACTTTCACCATTTAGATGGTAATTAGTAGATTGGTCTGAAAATATAAATTTTGTAAAACTAACGTTAAAATTGACAATAGTAGCATGGTTGGTATGTTTCGAATACTCGACCAAAAAATTATTCCTGAAATTTAAAGTACCGGTATCAGCAATATTAGAAAAAAAATATGTTCTGTTTTACCGACCGTTGTTAATTACCGACTGCGGATAACTGGTAATTTAATATCTGCTTCTTGAAGACTCACTAATAAGTCAGCCATTTAATTTATTTTCGTGTTGCTAATCCGTAAATTAAGATTTGAATTCCTTCAGTCTAATAATGTATTCACAGTGAAATAGAACTTTAACTTTTCCAACTAAATTCGTAAAATAAAATTCAGTAATTTAGTAGCAAATTGTTCTCTCATTATAATAAATATTTTCCTTTTAGAAAATTTCATACTTGAATTTATATATGAATTTACATGAAGATATAAACGAAAATAGAGAAAGGAGAAGTGAGTAAGAGATAAAGAGAGAAAAAAGTATGTATATATATATAAAGAGAGTGGGGGTAGATAAAACGAGGGTGTCATAAATAATCCAAGATTCAAGTCACGTAGAGCAGTTATACGTATTCAGGGTCGTATGTGAAAATATGATTTGCATAGGACCATTTAATTGTGGTATCGGTTTACATATTAGAGTATATGTCATTTTATCGAATTTATTTCTGTAAAAAAATGTTAAAAACACGTCTCCTACGTTATTCTGTAAATATTATTTATTTCTATATAAACATTATGAATAAATAATACATCACGAAATGGATTAAATTTCAACAATAACAATCAATTGAAATTCCTCTCATATTTCAATATGGAAACGATTCAAAAATTTCTCATGATAGTGCAATAATATACGTATGCTTTTGTTTTGCCTTTATAAAATTATTATCAGATAGTAAAATGTATTATGAAAATTTAAAACGTTTTCCCGGAAAATTTCATTGGAATTCCTTGAATTGGATTTTTGACGGAAAAATTTTGTTTATTGTGGTGGGGTTTTTCACTGAAGGAAATTGAAAAAATAAGATATTAGATGTGGGGTATTTTTGGAATTATAAATAATGTTTATGGTGATGGAATTCGGGTTGTAATACAATGTTTGTAATAAAAAATAACTTTCCGTTAGCCCGAGGAGCGCCTCGTGACAGGACGAAACATGAAATGCGCGCGAAGGACTGAGCGAACGATTTATAAGGCACCGCTTGGAGCGAATGGTGGGGGAAGAGACGCGGCGCGTCCGGCGTGCGCAGTCGTCATTCTCTCTTTGTCTGTCAGCCGTATACGACTACGATGGCTATGCTGTATAACACATAAGCTATCCCTACATCGTAAACTACAACTAGCATTTGTAAATGAGAATTAACTCCGAGAATCCAGGTAATATTTTCTTTCTCCCTTCATCGCATTGAAGACTATAGATAAAAGTATAAAACTTGAAACGTTACACAGTTTTAGTTAATTTCCGGAACTGATAGATTCAATAAAACTAATATTGATAATCTATCTAAACAGCACAACTTCTTCTATTTGCTATCATTAACATTATTATCAACTATACATATTAAGCTTATTATTAAGATATAAAAATAATTTGAATTTCTTTTACCCTTTTCTACCCACGATAGGTTTAATACATATATATTGAAATTTTAACAAATATTAAATTCATAGCATATTCATTGGAGCAAATAAATTGTTGAAAACTGTCTAAACTAATTTTGCGAAAAGCAGAGGCAGTTATAACGAGTTTCGTTACGCGAGACAAGCTTTTATTTAATTTTCACTCAACTATATACAAAAACCCCGCCGCCTAACTTCCATAATCATCAAGCTTCTGTGGGTGTCTCATAGAAAACTCTTCTCTCGTTTGTGATTCCCATAAATTTTCATTCCTTCTCGATAAAATAATTAGATATCATTTTCACAATTTGCTTCTAATGAATATTTCCCCTTTATTGTAGTTTGCATTTTTTATAACAATAATCAAATAATAAAAATAGGAAATATTAATTATAAGACTAATTTTTGCAAAAATACCGTTTCCTGTAAATTGTGCGTTAAAATAAAATATATTATAACTTAGCTTTTTGTTATTTGCAAAAAAAATTATCTGAGAATGCATTAAGTATGCAAAATAGAGAATAAAACATCAAATGAAATTCTCGTGCAATAAAATTGTGTTTCGTGAAATAACTCTGCAAGATATTATTTTCTGCGTGAAAGAACTATTAAAATTCCCTCAAATACAAAATTTCTAAGATCTATGAATATTATATTTATGTCTACACTTACATACCTAAGTATATAAAGATTTTTTTAAATTTACAAGAGATAAGAAAGCGAAATATTGCATTATTTTTTGCCATGTATTATAATAAGCATTTCAAAAAAGGAAAGTCAATTACACACGATATAAACTCATTTATTGCAATGACGTCACATTTTTTGTAACCTTTGTATGTGAATTGAAATTTTTAACTTTAAACTCCAAAGTGGAAATTAAGAGACCTAACTAGGGATGAAAAAATCAGAATTCATCTATTGTTAAAAACTGATTTACAAAATATATTTTTTGAGTTACTCAAAATCCATAGTGCAAGAAAATTAGATCGTTATCAAAATGTGTACAGTTGTAGGGAATGATTGTAGGTGTCGAGGTGAGGCGATGCGAATAACGTTCATGGGGTTGTAAAGCGAAATTATCGTGTGTACGAGTGAGAAAGAGAGACTGTTAACGTTTTCTAAGGACGGTAAAGGATACGTATTCGAGTACTTTTGGATAACAACCCCTTAGAAACAAGAGGTGAGAGAAAAGCGGTTTGCTGAAATAATGTTTCGAATTACACCGACACTAGTTTTTTTTTTCACTATCATAACATTTAATTTTTTTACTCACTTTCGTTAACGATATAATGTGAGAATTAAAAAAAATTTACAATTAAGGTTACAGTGAGAATTTAAATGTTAATAGGAAATTTGGAATTGAAAATAGAATGAGTTTCAAAGATGTTTATCAAGTTTTCTAACTGATATAATTTATATAACATTTTGTAAATTATTTTTGTGGCATACCACAATTAAATTTTGGCTAAGTGTTATTATTATTTAAAATTTTACAATGTGCATATAGAAAATAATAATTTTCAACTAAAATTACTCTCCTATTGAGAAGATAATTAGAACTTGTGTTAATAATGCATCCTGGGGTAAAATTGAGTTTACATAATGTCGTTTGCTTGAAAATTTACGTCTCGAGTATCGTTTGCTCAGAATCTGAAATGCACACTGGGCTTTATATGCGCGATGGAAATTAAATTAGATCATTCAGACGACGTACGACCTCCTTTCTATTTGAACTACGATAACGATGAAATTGTAGTCATTGCTATATAATATACAAAGTTTCTGCATGTGTGTATTTGTGTTTCTGTGTTGAATTGAAATCGAGCAACCTAAAAAATTTAAGATGTTTGGTATAAAATGATCATTTTGCGGAATAAGATCATAGTGCACGTTGATTAAGGAAAGAAAATATTAATAATTTTTTGTTGAAGACAATTTTTGTCTGTTTCTGAAAGTCTATTAGATTGTGGGGGCGCACAATTTCTTGCAGTGTCCCGGGAAGTTAAAAAAGTGGAAACAGAAGATGATAATGAAAGAAAAAAATTTAAAAGGGTCCGTCTTTTATTGTTTAAAATAGGTTAGACGATTCTTTTTTTTTTGTCAAAATACAATTCTAGAATGGAGGTAAATTATAATCAAGATGCAATTTAGTTTGTACTAGGGTAGACAAATAAAGCAATAGTAAGTGCCTGGTCATATACACAATGCCACGATGGCACGTGAATTCGCAATTACGACCACCTCATTTACGACTTGGGTTTCGACTGTTATATTAACCCACTTACATAATATTTTCATCAATATATTCTTTATATCCTATTCTCTCAAGTAAATAACATGAAAAATAATCCACCAAACCGGAAGTCATTTCTTGATAAATATCCATTATAAAAAAGATCCTTTTTTAAATAGAAACAATTTTTTGTCTATATATTCAGATGGGGTGACTTGGAAAGTTCTGGTAGTTTCGAAACAATTAAATTTTTATATATATAAGATTTAATGTACAGTTATACTTTTTTTAACTCTTCTTCTTTTTCTATTGATTTTCCAAGCTAAAGTGGGTAAAAAAAAGTTGGTCTGGGTGGTACTTTGATGAACGGAGATATAATGGGTTAGAAGAAAAAGGAAGACGATAAAAAATAGACGAAATATGGGAAATAAAGTGCAATACTCACCAGATGCGAGTCTCGAGTAGTAAATGTGACAGGATCAGAAGTCTTCGGCTCTCGACAATGAAAGTCTATTTTACCCCAAGCTGCTGCCCCTGCTGCGCCACTTTTCGCTGCTTCGATTAATTCCATTTTTACGCCCTCTGCTGCGAATTCCACCTATTTAAACAAAAATGAAAACTTTTCGTTGCAGTTATAATGTTTTTTCAATTTTTTCAAATCATTTATTTATTTTCATTTAAGAGATTTGAATTTATTTGTTACATTCTAATTTATTTCAAGTATTTAAAAGTACTTTTGATGCTAGTAATTTTTTTCCTGAACTGGTTATAAAATTAGAAGATAATCACTAGACACGAATTGCATTCTCATTAGTTTACTGTTCATAATTTTCAGTATTAGAAATTTATTATGTATTCGTTAGATAAAGTTATTAAATAAAATATTTACATAGACCCATATTCACTCTACTGCAGTGTTTCATCCTGATTTAAATAATTTTTATTTTTTTATTGAGTCTCTATAAAGTCTCAGATAATGTGGATATATTGTATTAGTTTTCTCTTCGCACTTGCAATAATTACAAGATGTGAATAAGTAAAAAAAAGTACGCAAGTCGGTAAGCATGCTGATGATTTAATTATTTTCCAGTTTGCATAAAACATTTGAGGTGAGAATGGTATTTAAAAAGGCAATAAACAATTTTAGCATTCGTATAACTTAAAATTTGGCAAATTGTTTTTTTAAATAACAAAGATTACTTTTCCATGACAATTTAAAATTTTCAATTTTGTAAAATAAATTTTTTTTATTTATCCTCGGTAGGTCAACTTACAGTGGTAAACGTCACGAGTACAACATGCAACCTATTTTGGAAAAAACCTATTGACAGTAATCAATCCATAATGTACACTATTGATTTAAATGCAATTGGTATAAAAAATTCTCTTTTAACACATAAAACTGACCTTCTGTAATACCTTTTACGATCAAGAACTTGAGACCGGGAAAGAAATATAAAGAAACATGCAAAATCTTTTGGAAAAAACATTTTGGTGTAGAATAGAATTAGTGTGAGTTTTTTTGATGATATGACAGAATCTTTAATATCAAAGGAATGCGTCACTGAGCCCGGGATAGGTATCAAATCTTTTCTCACATATGATCCTTTAAATATACGATATTAGGGTATTTTAGAGTATTATTAAACTGTTTCTCTTTTTTTACCCAGAAAGTGCAATCGCAAACATAAATAGTGAAGAAAGAAAGAAAATAGTAAGTACCCAACAGAAGATCAGAGGTTTAATTCCTACTATTATTATTACTTGAGGAATTTTATTATTCTTTTTATTATTTAAAGAAAGCATGCTCGTTTTCTATTTTATCTTTTGTTAAACATATGACTTTTTACAGGCACACCTGAAAATAATACATCGTGCATAGTCTAATAAAAAAATTCAGCATGATAATAGTAGCAAACACTAACGTTATTAACTAAGTTTATATGTAAACATTTAAAATTTATGATGAAAAAAATTAATTGTAAATAATAAGAAATGTATAATATATAGTAAACTTTTATTTTTTACCCTGCAGTAAGAATTTCTAACAAAAAATTAATTTTTCGATTTTTGGTCATAAGTACGCAATATTTTTTGGTATAAACCTATTGTCGGTGATGAATTATATTTCTAATTATAAGAATGGAGAGAATATGACGACTTTCTCTAAATACAACTTCTCTTATGAAAATATCTTTTACAATTTCAAACCTTGAATCTGGTTCTAAATATAAAATTATCATGATATTTAAAATTGACCACGAATAAGTCATAAACTTAAATGATAATTTTTATTGTTGTCACAGTATTTTTTGCTAAAGGCATAACTATCATCACGATCTACATTTTTGTTAAATAAATTTGTTCTTTCAAGTTGTATGTAGAATTTAAATTTACTTTCTCGTAGTTTTCCATCGAAATTGAGAAAAATATTAAGGAATAATATTAATTTATTTTATTCCGTCTATAAGATGAGTTTACTATTATATCCATTGGGGTATGTTCTATCTATTTCATTACAAACAAAATAAAATCAAGTTAGAGAAAAAGTATTTAATTTGTGTCACTTATGTTATTATGATTAATAACAACAAACTTTTTTATAGTCTCTACTACTTACTTGCACCATCGTCAGAGAATTCAAAAAATAATAATTCACATAAAAGTAAGCATAAAAAATGGTTTTGATTTTTCAAAATTTTTTTAAAATAGTTTTCCGCAAAGATTAATTAAAAATATCACTATATAATCTTCTTTGAAACTTAACATTCTGATAATTGTTTATATGAAAATTACAAAGATCACCTTACTGTGTTATTTATTCTCCAAATAATAAAATTTTTTCCCAGTACTGATGAGTACAGTTCAGGTAGTAAACGTCACGAATACAACATGCAACATTTTTTGGAATAAACCTATAGATGGTGATGAAAACCTAAGTTATGATATAGTTGTAATTAAGGATGGAGAGAATTTGACTGCTTTCTCTCACACAACTTCTGATACGGAAATATCTTTTAGAATTCCATACCTTGAACCTGGTTCTAAATATAAAATTATCGTGATATCTAAAATTGACAACAAAGAGATCACTAAAAACTCTACGGATTGCATTACTATGCCTGAAATAGGTATATTTTATTTAAATATCTACAATAATAAATGATATTTAATATAATTATGATATTCCCTTCCGAATTTTTTTTATTATTTTATAAATTTTATTAATTGTATGTTTGTTAATTCTTATGTGAAGCATTTCAGAAAAACATCGTTTATTGAAATTTGGTTCTCGATCAAGAATTTTTGCATTTTCCCAGTCAAATTCATGATTGAATTCAGATTGATGCGCTTTGACTACAGTTTTTGTGTTGTTTTTATTATTTTTGTGTTTATTAAATACGTGTTTTTAGAGAACCCTTTTGATTCTATACTTTTACCTTCCATGGATCGAAATATTTACTTACTTCAAATATAATAATAAATTATATCAAAGGAAAATAATTTTCAAAATAAGGATGCTTATTAAGTTTTTGTTAAATAATTATATTAATTTACAGATGTACCTAAAAATCACTCATCATGCCTAAACCGTTAGCAGAATTCAATTTTTACTATAGTCAAGGAAAAACTTTAAACATAAATGCTATCGTTTTTAACATTTTATTTAATGTATTATTCTTGATTTTTGAATAAATATTCTTATCTGAGAACATAGTATTAAAGTTTATTTTTTTTGCCTAGTAAGTGTTATATAATCTTATATTTTTTAATCTTACATAAAAAAATTATTTTAAAGTATTAAGATAAGTTGTTAAAAAATCTAAAATTTTAATCTTTAATATTAAAATCGTTTAATATAAAAATAGTTATTTCAAAAAATACAAAAAAGCCGATTTCTTCAAATTTAAAAAAAAATGTTAAAAAAAGTTTTGTGAATATATTCGGAAATTATTGTGTCATGCACATAATTAAACACAAATACATCTGGACATTTACGCAGAATTTTATATACATGTATTTTTGATAAAAATAAATCTTTAAACATTTTTTTGAAAAATTAAAAATTAAGAATTTTCAATCTGTATTTATGAGCTTGAAAAAATATTAAGTGATTTTCATTAAAAATTACACGTATTTACCACTTAAGATTTCAGTTACCATAAAGGCACATGTTAATATGGTTTGTTCGATTTTGGGCGAACAAAACAGTAAAGAAAAAGTCTCCACTTGTCAGTACAAGTGTTTTCATAATATGCACTATTATTGATGAAATTCTAATACGTAAATTATACTGTCATGTCCTTCATGTGACTTCAAACATTAATAATACGAAGTTATAAGAAGTGGATTCTTATTGATTAACTTTATATAAAATTCAATATTACAAATTATATTCTTAGACATTATTTCAAGAAATTTACATTTAAAATCCGTTCAGCGTTTGATATAGGTACTAAAAAAAGAATTTCATTTAATTTTGTCTAGAATACGATTAAAATGGCGGGGAAAACATTGTAGTAAGTTATTTTCATTTCCTAATTTAAGAAGCATGTACCTCGAAGTGAAATTTATTTTTAATATTAATCACAAAACAAATCGTGTTTTCAGCTTACTCTCAGCACTTGCAATTATAACAGGAAGTGAATCAGTACACATAAATGTTATAGAACTGAATGAAACATATAAAACAATATATTGCACTATGCCTCAAATTGGTAACATATCCATAGTTTCATATTTTTAATTAAAACAAGTTATATTTCAAAAGTATTCGTATGTAAATATTATTTACTTTTAAAAATAACTATTTTTCCTACTGTTCTTATGAGTACAGTCCAAGTGTTAAACGTCACGTATACAACATGCACAATTTTTTGGAATAAACCTATTGGTGGTGACGAATCTGTAAGTTATGATATATATCCAAGTAAAGATGTAGAGAATCTGACTACTTTCTCTTATACAACTTCTCTTAAGGAAATACCTTTTTCAATTCCGAATCTTGAACCTGGCTCTAAATATAAAATCACCGTGATATCTAAAATTTACAACCAAATCCTTACTCAAAACTCTACGTATTGCATCACTAGATCTAACATAGGTATGATGATAATTTTTGTAACTCTTTTTCTGTAAATATTTCTTAGATTTTTTATAGTCTTTATTGCATTTTTAATTCACAAAATACAGAATCTTCAGTCGATTTGATAAATGTCACGAATACAGCATGTAAAATTTATGTGAAAACTTCTATTGATGATAATCAATCCGTGAGATATTACATAAATCTAAATAGTACTTTAATGTATACTGTTTATATTACGGGGAAAATTTCTTTTTCGGAATCAATTTTTACTTTCAAAGACCTTGAATCTGGAGATATTTATGAAATATCAGTGCAACCTGAAATTGACAATTGGAATACAACTGCAGTTTCAACGAAGTGCATCACTAAGTCTCAATTGGGTATGATATAATATTGAGATTCATTTTACATTCATTTTATTAGTATTTTTGGTCTTTGTATATTTTACGATTCCATTTTTAATTCCGAAAATGATTAATTTTATTCATTGTCATGTTTATGAAGCATTCCAATTCTTATTGTTGTGTGTTTCATTTCGTAGATCTACTTAGGTTGATAGGCGTTACGAATTCATCATGCACAGTTGCATGGACAAAACCAGCGAATGATCAGAGTTCGATATTATATTTTATAGTACCAAGTGCACAAGATTGGCAGGGCACTGAAATCTATTTTGAAGATTCCAAAACTAAATTATTTTATGCTGTCAAAAATCTAAATTCTAAAGTCAGCTATAAAATAATTATAGCGAAAACCTATAAATGATAATCGTACCGTAATATATTATGTATCTGTAAAAGATGATAAATTTCAATACCCTATTAACTATTATGAAACTTCTGAGTCGGATGTACCTTTCACGATTTATTATTTATCACCTGGATTCACGTATGATCTTTCAGTGCAAGCTAAAATTGATAATCAGTTTACTATTCCAATTTCAACGAAGTGCATCACATTGTGATGAAACAGTAAAAATATGTTTATCTATTTAATAAAAGTTGTCAACTCAATTCTGTCTGACTTATTGATTAATACCAAGAATTATTGATCTATATCTAATGCGATTGTGACATTAATAACTATCATGATTAAATAAATGTATATAATTATTTAATAAATAAAAAAAAATTTATGAATATTTCCATACTTTCTATTGCTAAAAATATAGTTGTTTGTGAACAGTAACTTTCCGTAAATTTTATATCTTTCAGTTATAAAATTTTTTAGGTTATAGATAATTTAAATTATTTTTTCACTACTTTCCGGTAGAGTAATAAATACCATCATATTCTGCACGATTGTTGATTAAATTCTAATTAAATTATACTGTGATGTCCTTCATGTGACTTTAGCATTAATAATACGAAGTTATACGAAGTGGATTCTTATTGGTTAACTATATCTAAAATTCAATATTACAAATTATATTCTTAGACTTTATTTCAAGAAATTTAAATTCCGTACAGCGTTTAATATACTGAAAGAAGAATTTCGCTTCATTTTGTCTAGAAAACGATTAAGATGGTGTGGAAAACATTGCAGTAAGTTATTTCTATTCCCGAATTTAAGAAACAAGTACCTCGAAGTGAAATTTATTTTTAATATTAATCATAAAACAAATCGTGTTTTCAGCTTACTCTCGGCACTTGTAATAATAACAGGAAGTGAATCAGTACATATAACTGTCAAAGAAGGGAATGAAACATATAATACAATAATTTGTGCTCTGCCTCAAACAGGTATGACATTTTCTTTCATTTATAGTTAAGTGCGTCAGTATAGAAATATAAATAAAATAAACAATTAACAGTCCAGGTGTTAAGTGTCACGAATACAACATGCAAAATTATGTGGAATAAACCTATATATGGTGATGAAAACCTTAGTTATGATATAGTTATAAGTAAAGATGGAAAGAATGTGAATGCTTTCTCTCATACAACTTCTGATATGGAAATATCTTTTACAATTCCGAATCTTGAACCTGGTTCTAAATATAATATTACCCTGATATCAACAGTTTACAGTCAAATCCTAACTCAAAACTCTACGAATTGTATTACTGAGCCTGACATTGGTATGCTGCTTTCTTTTAAATTAATTTAACCGCATCTTCCAAAAGAAAAGAATATTTTTAACTTTGTTATATTTCTGGAGTTAATTAGGTTTCTTTTTATTCTTTGGTAGGAAAACTAACAGTTATAAACGTCACGAATACAACATGCACAATCTTTTGGAAAAAACCTATAAATACAAGCGAATCAGTAAGATACTTCACTGAGATATTTACTATTCCTAGTGGTTCGAGCTACAGAATCGTATATTATTCAAGTTCTCTCATGCAACCAAAATTTATAATAAAGAACCTCAATTCTGGAAGAAATTATGTTATTTCTGTTTCTTGTTACTATCCTATAAAGGATTGTCAACGTATTACAACTTTATGCTCCACTAAATCTGCTTTTGGTATGATTCAATTTTTCTGTTAATTTTTACAAAAAGCATTTTCCATGAATAAAGTTTAACTAAAGCAAAATGTGATAAACACTTTAGTCAGAGAAAATATTGTTTGTTTTTAACATTTCTCAAACTTTAAAACATCAGAAACTTCTCTTCCTGAAAATTGTGAAGAGCAGATTGTTAAATAGTGCTGATTACTATTTTATTTTTACAGGAACTGGAAATTTAACTGAACTAATAAGCAAAATAAATCTCACAGGTCCTGTAGTTTAATTTAGCTTAAACTTTTTAATACATTCTACATTGATTGTTAAACAAATGTATTTAAATCTGTAATTCAGAAAAATAAAATTTTTTTTTAATCAATAAAATTAAGTATAATTTAAAATTTTAAGTTTATAATGATAGTGAATTTCCTTTATCTACATTGTAAACTCTATTATGCAATTGTATAAATGATAGAATAACGAAGATCGACAAACGGTGAATAACGAAAAAGGAAGTTTATGGGGTTACATGTACTTAGGATTTTGAAAAAACCGCAAGATGCGAGACATCTCCTCCTCCAAAGTGAGCTTTGGAGGACCTCCCGAAAATTCTTTATAGAATTTTATGAAAAATTATTTTCATAAATAAAATATATCAAAATAAAGTTCAAAGTACCCTTTATATGAGCATTACATAATTTTTAAATTGAAAATACTCAATAGTTTTCTTTAAAAAAATCCCTAAAATATCAACTTTTTCAGGTGTCTAAGTGGATGTAACCCCTTAATATAATATAGGATTGACTGCAATTGAAAATGTTTTTAAATTGTTCATTGTGTTATTTACGCATTGTCTATGGAATTAAAGGAGAGAAGAGGAATGCGCACTCGAGTAAGTGGCTTGAATGCATTTTCGCTTGTTGGAATTCTCTTCAGTCCTGGCTAATTACTCTTCACGTAACCACGCACTCTGAACTATATACATATACTCTTTGTATATCTCAATACGCATGCACAAACACGTGTGCTTCTTCACTAAAGTGCTTTCTAGCTGCCGTCACACTCGTTTCCTAAACTCAACATCACTCTTGTTATTAGAAAAATCAAATATGTCACATGCAACATCTTTATTATTCAATCAGAAAAGTTCAATTTTAATTACTAATTTCTCAAATTTTACTAAAAAAACTTCTTGACCTTCCAAATAACTCCTCTTTTATCATTTTAGTATTTTATTTCAACAACATGAAGATATAAAAAAAAATTCTGTAAATCTACGAACTATATGCGTATTTGCTTGCTATTTGTTACTTACAAATAAAATTTACTGATTTTAATTTATTACATACTTCTAAGCTATCAAATTATTAAAAGTTTGAAATAGAAAATCATTTTTTTTTAGTTTTTAAAGGTTGTGTCATCATTATAATTTGAAAAAACTATTAAAAAAAACATTACTTAATTTCCAAGTATTTTAAAAATGATTGAATTAGATTCCTCTAAAGAACGGTATGTTTTAATTTTTTAAGGAATATTTGAAAAAATTCACTATACATTATGACTCCTAATGTTATCAATAATTTTCATTTCAGTTTAGTATTGATACTTGCATTAATAGCCAGTATGGCTATTTTTGTTATATGGGTAAAAAATCATCAAAATGAAGTGATTTCAATGATGGGAAACACTACAGATGTTATTACAAGTACCGAAAATGTAATCATAACTAAGGAAAGTAGTGAAGGTAAGAGACATTTATAATTTTTTGCTTCAATTTCTTTTTGAAATACCTCTTTTACGATCAAGAATTGTCTATATGGATGCATGTTAGGCTAAAAAGCCGAAAACGGCAAATTGACCAATACCAAGTGTGGCACTTTTGACTAGGACAAAACCCGTTGTATCAACTATTTGTTTTGATGTAGCATTTTTTTGGCTTGTAGTTTTGGTCAGTACAGTATGCGAATTTTAGTTTTGAGCATTTTAAACACCTAATGGTCGAAATGGACCGGCCAAAAGTAGTTTTGGTTGAAGGACAGTTGCCAAAACTTTGTGTGGCTTATTTTTCCGTCCATTAGACATTTTTGGCTTTTGAACCTAACATATACATAATTTTAGTGCAAGCTGAAAATGAGAATCGGTATACTACTGCGATTTCAACGGTGAGCGTCACTAAACCTCAATTAGGTATGAAACAGTGTTTGAAAATAATTTACCCCCACGGCATCTAAAATTGCAGAAACATTGACAATATTGCTGCAAGATTCACAATATTGAGGCTATGTTGTCAATGTTGCTGTAAATTGAGATGTTGTAGGGGTAGTGTTTTTAAATAATTTTGGATTTAAAATTCTGCATTTTTATGTTCACAAAAATACACATGGATTCTCATGATTTTGAGGCATTTAAATTCTAGTGTTGACTGTTCTCGATATGGGTCCACTCAGGGTAGTAGAAGTAACGACTTCATCTTGCAAGCTTCAATGGAGAAAACCATACAATGACAGCGAGATCATAATGTACGCTACATTGTAGATGTTTCTGGAAGGGAGATATTATCACTGTTTTTTTACAGCACTAATAAGCAACTATCTAGTTCAATCGAGCACCTTAACCCAAGTTCAAGATATTACATTACTATAGTTGCGGAAATAGGTGAACAACAATTTTCTCCAATTCATACGATTTGCGATACTAAACCTTAATTAAGTATTAAACCAATTTTGCAATACATCAATAATTGTTGAAAATATTTAAATAAACATATGTTGTAAACTTCCAAGAGAGAAAAATTGTCTCAACTGCAAAAAATTGTGTGAAATAAAAATTACATTCATGTTAATAAATTGTGTAAAATATTTTTCCCACTCATAAGCAAAAAATATATTCAAGCTCGAAGAAGGTTCCTAAAACGTTTCATATGTCTTTCGAAAAAATTAAAATCGTCACAAATGGAAAAAAAATTTATTTTTTCACATATTATCATGTATACTAGCCGAATATCAAGTTTAAGAATTTACAGTCAGCTTTTATGAGCTTGAAATAATATAATAGTGTATAAAATGTAATGTTACAAATTTTTTATCTATTCCTTAAGTAAAAAATTATGATGAATTCTTTACTCCTGTATACCGTAGAATTGTGGGCGAATAATACACTAAGGAATAATTTTCACGTACTTCATTTTGTGTCGAATATAATTAAGATGATTGGAATAATATTATTGTGAGTTATCTCAAATTTTACATACAAATTACCAGTAATTAGTACTTTTGTATCAAATTTCTTAAGTGTAAAAGTATAAACCTAATTTTTTAATTCATTACCAAGTAACGATATTTCTTTCTTCCTATTTATAAAATAAATAACATAAGAATGACTTCTTTTATCTAATTTGTATATCTACAGTTGTCATATAAGAATTAATATCAATTGTAACAAAAAGAGTTTTCAGCTTGCTCTCAGCACTTGCAATTATAACAGGAAGTGAAGCAGTACACATAAATGTAATAGAAGGGAATAAAACATATAAAACAATATATTGCACTATGCCTCAAATAGGTAACATATTTTCTTTCAGAGCCTTTATAATTTTTACCATAAATGTTTACATAATAATTAAATTGTATTGATGATTTATTATAATTTACAAGATATCCATTTTAACAGATGTCATATTTTTATTTTTCAATTTCGTAAAAATTCTAAAGATATTTACCAAAAATACTTATATAAAAACACAATGTAAGAATATTTGACTTAAAAATAATAATTAAAATTAAAGTCCACCTGCATAGTTTCATATTTTAAATTCAAATAAATTAAATTTTAAAAGCATGTTAATGGAAGAGTGATGAATTAAAACTTTAACATTTCAAATAATTGAAAGTTAAAATAAACTCTAAGGAGTGACGTAGTTTAGACAGCCGAAAAAAATTGATATTTTATGAATTTTTTCTGAGAAAACTATTAAGTATTTCAATTTAAAAATTAAGTCACATATAAAGGGTACTTTGAACTTTATTTTGACATATTTTATTCATAAAAATAATTTTTGTTTAAACTTCTATAAAGAATTTGCGGGAGCTCCTCCGAAGCGAGGATTAACACTTTGCTTCCTCATAGAGATAATATAATAATAATAATATTAATAGAAATATATAAATAACTTTTTATAAATATGGTAAAAGTGATTAAATCTTGAGTCAATCAATGTATTTCCCTACAAGATAGTTATAATAGTTTAATAGTTAATATAGTTAAACATTATTAATCTATCTCAAAGTACGCTCATTTTATGTCCGCACGTGAGACCTACAATTAAAAAAAAATTCATTCCTAATGCTCTTCATAATCTTGAGATATTTATGAAAATGTCTAAGGTATTTAGCTACACGGAAAAAAAATTTAGCAGATTTTACAAAACTGTTCCGAAGTAGCGGATACAGCTTATTACGAAATTCAGTTTTGTAAAATGTAAGGAATATTTCAGGATAAAGTACAGAAATTTTGTAGCTATAATACTAAATATTTTTAAAGTTTATCCTGAAATATTCCTTACATTTTACAAAACTTAGTTTCGTAATAAGCTGTATCCGCTACTCCGTAACAGTTCTGTAAAATCTGCTAAATTTATTTTTTCTGTCTAATAATAATAAATAAGTATTCTTATGTTGTACTTTCTCATATTTACTTTTAAAAATAACTATTTTTCCCGCACTGTTCTCATGAGTGCAGTTCAAGTGTCAAACGTCACGGATACAACATGCAACATTTTTTGGAATAAACCTATTGGTGGTGACGAATTTTTAGATTATGATATATATTCAAGTAAAGATGAAGAGAATATGTCTCGTTACTTTCGTATAACTTCTCTTAAGAAAATACGTTTTTCAATTCCGAATCTTGAACCTGGCTCTAAATATAAAATCACCGTGATATCTAAAATTTACAACCAAATCCTTACTCAAAACTCTACGGATTGCATCACTAGATCTAACATAGGTATGATGGTAATTTTTGAAACTCTTTTTCTGTAAATAGTTTTTGAGTTTTGTGTAGTCTTGATTGTATTTTTAATTCCTAAAATACATCATAGGTATGACACAATATTTGAGATTTATTGTTCACAAATAATTTTGGGTTTTGTACACTATTGATAATTTTGAATTTTTATTTAAAAAAAAGTACACAATTTAGTGTTGACTGTTCTCGATATAGGTCCACTCAGGGTAGTAGAAGTAACGACTACATCTTGCAAACTTCAATGGAGAAAACCAAACAATGACAGCGAGATCATAACGTACTTTATAACACCACGTGGAGAAGGCATGACTAACAATTTTAAGATTCACAACTCAAGTCATCACTTCATAGATTATACGGTCCAGAACCTTAAATCTGGATCTAGATATAATATTTCAGTGTATGCGAACCTTAACAATCTTGAACCAATATCAACGACATGCGATACTTTGTCGTCAAATAGTAAGAAATTTTTTCAGTTACATTATTGTGTTAGACTTTTTTCGAGTTTCAAATAATAAATACTTCGATCCACAGTTGTTTCTGAGGCAGTCAAGGTTTTATTTGTCACGAATACAACATGTGAAATTACTTGGAAGAAACCTACGGAGAGTAATGGTTTGGTACGCTACATTGTAGATGTTTCTGGAATAAAGATATTATCACTGTTTTTTTACAGCATTGATAAGCAAATATCTATCTTAATCGAGCACCTTAATCCAAGTTCAAAATATTATATTACTATATTTGCGAAAATAGGCAAACAACAATTTTCTCCAATTCATACGATTTGCAATACTAAACCTTAATTGAGTATTAAACCAATTTTGCAATACATCAATAATTGTTGAAAATATTTAAATAAACATATGTTGTAAACTTCCAAGAGAGAAAAATTGTCTCAACTGCAAAAAATTGTGTGAAATAAAAATTACATTCATGTTAATAAATTGTGTAAAATATTTTTCCCACTCATAAGCAAAAAATATATTCAAGCTCGAAGAAGGTTCCTAAAACGTTTCATATGTCTTTCGAAAAAATTAAAATCGTCACAAATGAAAAAAAAATTTATTTTTTCACATATTATCATGTATACTAGCCGAATATCAAGTTTAAGAATTTACAGTCAGCTTTTATGAGCTTGAAATAAAATAATAGTGTATAAAATTTAATGTTACAAATTTTTTATCTATTCCTTAAGTAAAAAATTATGATGAATTCTTTACTCCTGTATACCGTAGAATTGTGGGCGAATAATACACTAAGGAATAATTTTCACGTACTTCATTTTGTGTCGAATATAATTAAGATGATTGGAATAATATTATTGTGAGTTATCTCAAATTTTACATACAAATTACCAGTAATTAGTACTTTTGTATCAAATTTCTTAAGTGTAAAAGTATCAACCTAATTTTTTAATTCATTACCAAGTAACGATATTTCTTTCTTCCTATTTATAAAATAAATAACATAAGAATGACTTCTTTTATCTAATTTGTATATCTACACTTGTCATATAAGAATTTATATCAATTGTAACAAAAAGAGTTTCCAGCTTGCTCTCAGCACTTGCAATTATAACTGGAAGTGAACCAGTAAACATAAATGTAACAGAAGGGAATTGTTTAGTTATTTGAAATTTTGTTGTTTAGATTATTGTTGTTAATTCTATTTTAATCACATATCACTTTGGAACGTGTTTTGAATTAATGAACTTTCTTTTAATTAAACTACCATTTATTTTCACCATAATAAAAAATTTATTATATACACTATTTTAATTTTAATTGTAAACATTGTAGAATATATTTAGTTGAAATGTAAGCAAAGATTCAATTTAAATTTACGGATATAATTTCAATATTTTGAGAGCACATTTTCGACGTAAGAACAGGTTAGTCACATCAAGACTCATTTTATATAGAAAAAAAGGGAGAAACTGCGCATAGTCAATTTGAGCAAAATTTAAAAACATGCGAGTATAACTGAAAGCTATCTCACAGGCGAAAACAAAATATATATTGAAAATCTCAAACATTCTGCCCGGGTGCATTCATGAATGAATGCAAAACAAGTTACTTTATTTTAATTCGATTTTACGTTACATTTGTTTAATGGGAAGAACAGCTAATTTAGAAAAAGATCTTTTTAAAATTGAATTTTGTGTTTTAATAGTAGCGACTCTAGATAGTCCATCTTTTCCTGGGTGCAGTTGTAAAATTTTTCCAAGACTCCATCTCGTAGGTGGAAGATTATCTTCCTTGATCAGCACTACATCTCCGATTTTCACTGCGTTTGTTTCAAACAACCATTTCGATCGTTGTTGAAGATGAGAGAGGTATTCACAAGACCAACGGTTCCAAAAATCATCCCTCATTTTGGTAATTAACTTCCAGCGATCAACGGGATGGTCATTTAAATCGGATAGTGTAGGCTCAGGAACAGAAACTATGGGTCCACCAGTTAGAATGTGACCTGGAGTGATAGCAGAAATTGAGTTAGCATCGGCAGTGTTGGGATATAAGGGCCTAGAATTTAAACAGGCTTCAATTTGGCACAAAACTGTAGAGAGTTCCTCAAAAGTCATTCTGGTTTCTCCTACAACACGGCGAAGGTGGTGCTTCACAGATTTAATTCCTGCTTCCCATATTCCTCCGAAATGGGGAGAGTGAGGTGGTATGAATGACCAAGTTGTTTCTTGTTTTGCTAATTCTTCAGCCACGGTAGTGAATATTTCAGTGGCTCCAATGAACAGTTGTCGAAGTTCTCGTGCGGCTCCAATAAAGTTGCGGGCGTTGTCACTCCATAATTTTGTACAAACACCTCTGCGTGAGGTGAATCTCTTAAAGGCGGCAAGAAAACTTTTTGTCTCGTAATCGGAAACCAATTCCAGGTGAATAGCTCTAGAACATAAACAAACAAACAGGCAAACATATCCTTTATAGGATTTAATCCCTCTACCTTTGGAAGATAAGATGTAGAATGGCCCAGCGTAGTCAAGGCCAGTAAACGAGAATGGTTTCGAAACATTAATCCTTTCGTTTGGTAATTGGCCCATCAGTTGTGTTTGAAAATTAGCGCGGAAACGGAAACATTTGACACAGCTTCTAATAATTTTGTTGATTAGGGTTTTAGAACTAATAATCCAAAATTTCCTAAGAACTTTACTCAATGTAAGCTGCTGACCTCCATGAAGAGTGTCATGATGTGCTTGAATAACAATCAGTTCAGAAAGTTTGTTGCCCTTTGGCAAAATAACAGGGTGTTTTTCGTCATAAGTGAGAAAAGAGTTTTGAATACGACCTCCGACCCTCATTATATTTTGATTATCTAGAAATGGGGTTAATTTTACCAAACTTGAGTTTCTTTTCGAGAGTGATTTACTTTCACTGAGTAGGTCTATTACTTCTTGAAAATGCTGTTTTTGAACTATTTTAATCCAAATTGAAAGACTGTCTCGCAATTCGTCAGCCGTAAGATAAGGTTCAAAAATACAATTTCGATTTTTACATCTTGAAATGAATCGACGACAATAGGATGTTACTCTGAGTAATTTAGCTACGGAAGAAAATCTAGATAGCAGATCTACATTTTCTCTATTTTGAATGATGTTGACGTCAATTTCATCATTTTTTACAAGAAATTTGGAGCGCACCTCAAGTTCAGTATCAGAATTGGCCGTTTGAACGTTAATTGGCCAATTTTGTGAATCTCTAAGCAACCAGCATGGGCCGTTCCACCATAATGATGAATTAAGAAGATCTTTAACTGAATAACCTCTCGTAGCACAGTCTGCTGGATTATCCTTGGAAGGTACATGTTTCCACTGCGAATTTTCCGACAACGAGTGAATTTCACTCACTCTATTGGCAACAAATGGTTTCCACCTTGAAGGGTGACCTTGGAGCCATGAAAGCACGATCTGAGAGTCTGACCAGTAAAAGATTTGTTTTGACGACAACATTAGATTTTCTTTCACAATTGATACTAATTTAGCTAGTAGAGTGGCAGCGCTTAATTCTAATTTGGGTAGACTAATGACTTTAACAGGGGCTAGCTTGGTTTTGGCCATAAGTAAATTAGAGTTAGCAGGTCTATTATCGGTACGGTTTACTAGGTAGAGTGCAGCAGAGTAAGCTCTCTCTGATGCATCTGAAAATCCATGTAACTCCCACCCTAAAGTGTTAGAGTCAGTGCAAACCCACCTAGGGATTTTAATAAAATTTAGTTGTTGGAATTGATCTTTAAATAAGTTCCATTCAATTTGAAGATGATTAGGTAATATCTCATCCCAGTTAGAGCCAGCTAACCAACAGTCTTGCAATAATAGTTTAGCTTTTAGAAGAAAGGGTGCTAACCAACCTAGGGGATCAAACAGTTTTGCGATCTCTGAGGCTACAACACGTTTTGTTGGTTTGGATTGAGAAAAGGAGGTCACTTTATAATGAAATTCATCAGAAAGAGGATTCCAGTGTAATCCTAAGGTCGTAACTGAATTTTCAAAATTAAATTGCTTACTACTTTCTTCCGTTTCTTTATTATTGTCAGGAATTAATTCGTCAATGTTTGCAGCCCATTTACTTAGAGTGATGCCTGCCGAAGCTAAAATGTTGATCAGTTCATTTCTAACTTGGATTGCAGCTTCAACAGAATCTCCTCCAGAAAATATGTCATCCACATAAGTGTTATTTAGAAGAGCGTCAGAACCTAACGGAAAATGATCTTTTTCATCAGATGCTAATTGGTTGAGAACTCTTATGGCTAGAAATGGAGCTGATCTTGTCCCGTACGTTACTGTTGTTAAACAATAGTCCATGAGGGGTTGACTTGGATCAGGTCTCCAAACAATTCTTAGTAAGTTGCAATCTGGGGAATCAATTTTAATTTGCCGAAACATCTTTACAATGTCAGCGGTGAAGACAAATTTCCACAGCCTCCATTTTGTAATGATTAACCAAATTGCGGCTTGTAATTTCTGTCCGGGGTAGAGGATATCATTTAGAGATAGTCCTGATATAGTGAGAAACGAACCATTGAATACGACCCTGATGGCAGAAGATGGATCAGGGGATTTTGTGATGACATGATGTGGTAAGTAGTTCTGATTCGGAAGAGATTGGTCTTCATCTGATACCGGTCTCATATGGTTGAGATCAATGTATTCTTGCATAAAAGAGTTGTATTTGGACTTGGTGATTAGATTTTTAGATTGTTGTTTTTCTGATCTTAGAAACATGGAGACTACTTGCTCTCTTGATTGACCTAAATGATCAGCTGATTTTTGTAAAGGCAGGCGGACAACGTAACGACCAGATTGGTCTCTGTAATGGGTATTTTCAAAGATTTCTTCACATTTCATCTCCTCGTTAGTAAGAAAGGTTTGTTTAGGAAGTTCTTCAATTTCCCAGAATCTGCGAAGTTGAAGGTTTAAAGAATCTGTTTCTTCAATTTGGAAAGTAGAAGCACAAGTTTGAGAAATAGTTTGTTGCGATGAAGAATTACCGAATATGATCCAACCGAAGGTCGTTAAAACACCTGTGGGGCTATTAAGAGGACCTTGTCTTAATCCCGGACGTAGAGTATGTCCAAGTAAATCAACACCAACCACACAGTCAACTATTTCATTTGTGGAATAATTAGGATCTGCAAGATCCAAATCTTTAAGATGGGACCATTCTTTATGCTCAGGTTTGTCTTTAGGTATGATTTGTACAAGAGACTTCATAACGAGAGCATTTAAAGGTAATTGAAAGGTAGAATCTTTAGGTGATTTTAACCAAAGATTAACATTATAATTCGATGAACCTAATGAAGAATTTCCAATACCTTTCAGACTAACATCACATTTATTTTTTTGAAGTTTCAGCAATTGAACTACTCGTTCTGTTATCAATGAGCGTTCTGAACCAGAATCAAGAAAACCTTTCACGATGATGGATTTTTCATTTGGCGAAGTGAGTTTAATATAGGCTGTAGCAAAGATACCCCTTGGCTGTTGGGCACTGGGGTTGGAGAGATGATTAGTTAGATAGGATGTATGACAACCAATTTGATCGGTGGTTGTAGATGATGTAGGGTTAGATGATTGCACACTCGGTGATGAATTGTGCTGCAGAACATCATGAAGGAATGTATGATGTTTGCCTGAGCACACAAAACATCTTTTAGTTGAAGGGCAATCATTAAGTTTGTGGTTGCCTCTTAGACAGTTGTAGCAGAGTCCTAAGGATTGGATCTTACTACTTCGTTCAGCAACTTTTAACTTTTTGAATTGAGAACAATACGATATAAAGTGCTGACCTTGGCAAAGTGTACAGCATTTAGAGATTGATTGAGGTTCACTCTGAGATACGTTTACTGAAACCTGTGAGGGTTTTCCTTTGACGGGAGAGCGTGACTTTGATTTTGATTTTATATTGTTATTTGTAGTACTTGGGGTATCAATAGGGTTTGACGCTTCCAAGGCTCTAACTGTGTGCTCAAGGAAGGTAGAAAGCTCCTCGTAAAGAGGAAATTCTTCAGATTCCTTTTGGGATGATTCCCATTCTTCACGGGTAGAAGGATCTAATTTATTGACAAGGATGTGAACAAACCAATCGTCCCACAATTCGACAGGTCTACCAATATTTGTAAAGGCTCGAATTGATTCATTGGTTGCATCTAAGAGCCGTAGTATCTCATCAACCGACCTTGAAGATGCAACTGGACAAGATAGTAATTTGCGCATATGTGCAGCTAAGAGAATCCGATTATTATCAAACCTTCTGACTAACATCGACCATGCTTCATTATAATTCGCATTATTTACTGGAAGATTCTTAATACGTTCCGCCGCTTTACCGGTTAAGGATGATTTTAAGTAGTAAAACTTTTGAACGTCCGTAATGTTAGTTTGATCAACCATGGCTTTAAATAAATCTCGAAAGGTTTCCCATTCAAGTTGATTACCTGAAAATTTTGGAAGAGATAAATTTGGAAGATGTTTGAAATTAGAGTCAGAAAATTTATTACCTCGGGTGTCAGTAACGTGAATTGTTTTTGTTGAAAGCTTGGTAATCTCTCGAATAATGATTGCTTTAGTTGAGGCATAATCTTCTTCTAGTTCATCGAATTTGGACTCTTTCACGTAGACCGTGTCTGCATAAGTAGGGTCGTCAACTATTTTCCAATGATTCTCATAAAAGTCTTTCCAATAAGTATTCAGGAGTTCCAGCTTAGATTCCAGATAAGGTAAAGGAGATTCCTTCGCTCGAGAAGATTGTGCTATTTTTTGATGATGTTGTTTAATAAGGTTTGAAAGTCGTTCCTGTTTTTTCATTTCCATTCTTTTGAAAGAGCGGTTAAGATGATAAGCTTAAAGAAAATTCAAATAGTAAGTAATTTGATAGAAAGATGAAATTAGTATTAGTTTCGTTAAAATAAATTTAACATTTGAGCATTAGTTTGTTGCGAAATCTAAACCTTGGAAGCTTTGGAAGTGTCACGTTGCATAAGAGTACTCTACTATTCCCCTCGAACAATGGGACACACTTACAAGGTGATAGTTAAGGGTTTACTCTGGTTAAGTTGAATTAAGACAAATAATAAGCATTCTATCAAATCAAGTATTAATTTAAGTATCAAGCAATTCAAATTAGGAAATGTTTATTTAGCTTTGAATTAGCTATGTAATTATAAGTAAATTTACTTACGTCATAATACTGAAATTATTTATTTTATACTTATAAATTAAATCAGCTGATGAAAACACAGGAACACAAGCTTGAAGACACTAGGTTATAGTCGTTATCATACTTTTTTTTTGTGGGTTGATTCACGTTATGTTGTAATAAGTTCCAAAAGTAAAAAATTCCAGAAAAATAATCCGGCTCGAAGGACCAAAAAATGTTTAGTTATTTGAAATTTTGTTGTTTAGATTATTGTTGTTAATTCTATTTTAATCACATATCACTTTGGAACGTGTTTTGAATTAATGAACTTTCTTTTAATTAAACTACCATTTATTTTCACCATAATAAAAAATTTATTATATACACTATTTTAATTTTAATTGTAAACATTGTAGAATATATTTAGTTGAAATGTAAGCAAAGATTCAATTTAAATTTACGGATATAATTTCAATATTTTGAGAGCACATTTTCGACGTAAGAACAGGTTAGTCACATCAAGACTCATTTTATATAGAAAAAAAGGGAGAAACTGCGCATAGTCAATTTGAGCAAAATTTAAAAACATGCGAGTATAACTGAAAGCTATCTCACAGGCGAAAACAAAATATATATTGAAAATCTCAAACAGGAATGAAACATATAAAACAATATATTGCACTTTGCCTCAAATTGGTAAGATATTTCCTTTCAAAGCCTTTATAATTTTTACGATTAATGTTTACATAATAATTAAATTATAATAATTAAAATATTAATAATATTAATAGAAATATATAAATAACTTTTTATAAATATGGTAAAAGTAATTAAATCTTAAGTCAATCAATGTATTTCCCTACAAGATAGTTATAATAGTAAAAGAAAAGTTTTCAAACAAAAAAGTTAAGGAAATGTCATTTTCCACAATTTTTGGTTTTTAAAATACCAAGAATTTCGAAATTTAATATCGAATTAGATTCAAAAATAGGTCAATCGAAGTGTTTTTTAATGCTCTGCAAATTAGTAACGATGCTTTTAAAATTACTTCTACATTTTTCAACAAAATTTTCCAAAATGACAGATTTTTTAAAAGTTTAATACCTCCAGTTAATATGGAAGACAAATGTTCAATTAGGGCAAAAAAAATGCGTTAAAAGAAAATACTCTAAAAAATTATGGAAAAACATATTTTTTAAGATATAGGCAAATAACGTTTTTTTTTGCAAAATTAAAAATAAAAATTAATATAGTTAAACATTATTAATCTATCTCAAAGTACGCTCATTTTATGTCCGCACGTGAGACCTACAATTAAAAAAAAAATTCATCCCTAATGCTCTTCATAATCTTGAGATATTTATGAAAATGTCTAAGGTATTTAGCTACACGGAAAAAAAAAATTTAGCAGATTTTACAAAACTGTTCCGAAGTAGCGGATACAGCTTATTACGAAATTCAGTTTTGTAAAATGTAAGGAATATTTCAGGATAAAGTACAGAAATTTTGTAGCTATAATACTAAATATTTTTAAAGTTTATCCTGAAATATTCCTTACATTTTACAAAACTTAGTTTCGTAATAAGCTGTATCCGCTACTCCGTAACAGTTCTGTAAAATCTGCTAAATTTATTTTTTCTGTCTAATAATAATAAATAAGTATTCTTATGTTGTACTTTCTCATATTTACTTTTAAAAATAACTATTTTTCCCGCACTGTTCTCATGAGTGCAGTTCAAGTGTCAAACGTCACGGATACAACATGCAACATTTTTTGGAATAAACCTATTGATGGTGACGAATTTTTAGATTATGATATATATTCAAGTAAAGATGAAGAGAATATGTCTCGTTACTTTCGTATAACTTCTCTTAAGAAAATACGTTTTTCAATTCCGAATCTTGAACCTGGCTCTAAATATAAAATCACCGTGATATCTAAAATTTACAACCAAATCCTTACTCAAAACTCTACGGATTGCATAACTAGATCTAACATAGGTATGATGGTAATTTTTGAAACTCTTTTTCTGTAAATAGTTTTTGAGTTTTGTGTAGTCTTGATTGTATTTTTAATTCCTAAAATACATCATATAGGTATGACACAATATTTGAGATTTATTGTTCACAAATAATTTTGGGTTTTGTACACTATTGATAATTTTGAATTTTTATTTTAAAAAAAGTACACAATTTAGTGTTGACTGTTCTCGATATAGGTCCACTCAGGGTAGTAGAAGTAACGACTACATCTTGCAAACTTCAATGGAGAAAACCAAACAATGGGAGCGAGTTCATAATGTACACTATAAGACCACGTGAAGAAGGCGTGAACAACTTTATAATGATGACTCACTTCTCTAGTCATCGCTACATAGATTTTACGGTCCAAAATCTTAAATCTGGATCTAGATATAATATTTCAGTGTATGCTAACCTTAACAATATCAAACCAATATCAACGATATGCGACACTTTGACTTCAAATAGTGAGAAATTTTTTCAGTTACATTATTGTTTTAGACTTTTTTCGAGTTTCAAATAATAAATACATCAATCCACAGCTGTTTCTGCGGCAGTCTAGGTTTTATACGTCACGAATACAACATGTAAAATTACTTGAAAGAAACCTACGTAAACTTCCAAGAAAGATAAATTTTCTAAACTGCAAAAATTGTGTGAAATAAAAATTACATTCATGTTAATAAATTGTGTAAAATATTTTTCCCATAGCAGAAAATTATGTTCATACTCGACGAAGGTTCCTAAAACTTTTCATGTTTTTCCAAAAAATTGAAATCGTCAAAAATGCAAAAAAAAATTATTTTTTCACATATTATCATGTACACTAGCAAAATGCCAATTTTGAGAATTTTTGGTCAGCTTTTATGAGCTTAAAAGAATATAATAGTGCATAAAATTTAATGTTACAAATTTTTTTATTTATTCCTTTATTTTTTAAAAAAGTCATTTTTGAACTCCTGCACAAAAATTTGGTGAGTTTTTATTTTCTAGAGGAAAAAACGTTTTTTTTTTTCAAATCACATTTCATTTAGAAATTGCAATTCGAAAGTATATTTTGTGATGTTTCGATTTTTAAACAATGTTTTCCTTTTTTTCAGTTCAATTTTTGTATTGGTGATATTCTTGCTCGTAATCTTTGTAGGTTATATGAAAATGACCAATAGAAATTCAGAGAGTAATTTGAAACGCTACATGACGGAACTTTATGATTCTGGTAAGCAATTTTACCGAAATATAAATGTTTTAAAAAATTTTCATATTTTTTTATAATTCTTTAACTTATTTGAAAAAAATAGACGAAATAAAATATTTTATGTTTAAAATTTTAAAAACATAAAAAATTTGTATTTTTGAAAAATTTCCAAACTTTGTTAAATAATAAATAACTATATGTAAATAATCAAATAGTGGAAACATAAATTTAATAATGTTCTCTTACTGATAGCGAAATAAATATTTAAAAAAATATTTAATCTTCACTGTTAAATGCAAATGTATTTAATAAACATTAAATATTTTTTTGATTATTGTTTTAAAATTTTGCAAAAATATTATTTTTGACTGTAACTCAGGAAAATTTTAAAAATCATTCTTTCATTTAAATTTTTTGCGCGAAATGTTTATTTGCTTTCAATTACATCGCAATACGTTTAAAAAAAAGAAAAATAAATTTTTAACGAATTAATTTTATTGTATGCGCAATACCTTACAAATTATATTATTTTAAAATTTAGGGAATTTTGATTGAAAAATAATGTTTTTCTTTTTTTTTTCTAAATAATTTCGAAACGAAAGAAAAAAATTTCTTATTTCGTGATTTTGATGTTAAAATTTTAAATAATGTTCTAAATGATATGAAGTAATTTATCATTTTTTACTGCAAAATTTATTTTTTCTTTTAATCTATTCTATGTGTTGTTTCTCTATTGGACGATGGTATATAAAATTCAGTTTACATACATTTTTTTGTTCGTTTGGGGGAAATTATTAAATTGTTTGTTTCTAATATTTCTGCATTAAGTTGTCTGAAGAGACGCAGTACAGATTTTAGAAAACGCTAAAGGAAATTTTTTTAAGTTTTTCCCGATTTCTAATCCATCAGAAATGGATCATACAAAAATTTGGTAAGTTTTAATTTTCTAAAGAAAAAAACGTAATACTTTTTTCCGACCACGATTTTTTTTTAAAACTATCATTCGAAAGTATGCTTTGTGATGTTTCGATTTTAAAATAATATTGAATTTTCCTTTTTTTAGTTTAATTATTCTATTCGTGATATCCTTGTTTGTAATCTTTGTAAGTTTTATGAAAATGAACAGTAAAAATTCAAACAGTAATTTGAATGCCTCCATGACGAAAATTTATGATTCTGGTAAGCAATTATAAAATTAATATAATATAAAATTTAACTCTAATTATTGTAAAACAACATTTATTTTTAATGATATTGACAATAAATATTAAATATTTTTAGTTGCAGATCTTACAAAAAACTTTCCTGAGAAAATTAAAAATGTATTTTAAAAAGGTTAATTTTTGAAACAGTCATGTATAGCGATTGTTGAAACAATAATGTTACATTAGAAAATAATAATTTAAAAGATAATATTACGAGAATGTTTACCAAATTTTTGCCTAAATTCTGTATTTTAGATATGTAATTATTGTATTTAATGTGACATGTTAATAAAAAATTTTTAAATAATATCAAATCTTAATTTTTCTTAATAATATCGATATTTTTCAAAAATAAAAAAAATTCCCTAAAGTGGATTTTGAAAAAAAAATTTTAATTTATTAAAATTTAATATAATTGCTAAGTTCCTGCTTGACTTTAGAATATTTTTCTTATATATGTATAATTTAATTATGAAATAAACTTATTGATAGAATCTTTAATGTCAGAGTAATATTTAAAATAACAAGGTTGATTTAAATAAATTGGACAAACATTTTTTAATCGTTAAATTTTCTCCTACTTTTCGAAATAATAAAGATTTCTTGCTTAAAAAGTCTGTTGGTACAAAGACAATATAAATAGTAGTACAAAAAGAAATAATGGTTATTCAAAAACTGTATAAATGCCTTTTCAGATTATTTTAAACAATACTTCTCTGATTAAAATAAAACGAAAAATAAGTACAAGGGGTCGATTTTTAATAATAAATAAATAATCTATTTAGGCCTTAAAAACTATGAGATATTTTCATCCCCCAATTCCGACTGTATGATTTTTAAATTTTTATAAATAAAAAAAAAATGTTTAATACCCATACATTTTTTTTCAATAATCATTTTTCAAGTGAATAATTATCTATTACTGATAGTAATATTCCTTATTGTTTAAGGCAAAATTTACTGCTTTAAAATTTTTCAAATATTTCTACTTTTGGAACATTGAAATATTTAATATTTTAAATGTAATATTTTTAATGTTTCTTAGATAAAAATACAAAATAATAAAATATTTTTATTTAAAATCACGGTTTAGTTCTGTTGTACGTGGCAAACATTACAATTCAAAAATAAATACTTAAGAAGAAATTTTTATTTTTTCTAAAATTGAAATGAAGTCTTCTGCATTTTGGTGAGTAGTCTTACAATAATAATTTATTATTGTAAAAAGAATTTTTCTACAATTCTAAGTGTAAGGTAAACTAATATTTGAAGACTAATTTTGAAGTTAGTAAAACTTTCTTCATGGGAGAAGAGCTAGTCTCCGTTTTAAATTTTTAAAATAATGGCGTATACATTGATACCAGAAAAATTTTTTTTACAGTTTATTAATTATAGTCGAGATATTGGCTATTTTAGTCTGTGTGTTTTTGTGGGAAAAATGGAATTCAAATCATGAAGTAAATAGAATCATTGTACTAGATGGTACAATGACTAATGGAACGACTAATGGTGAAAGAGGTATTCACGAATCCGTATATTTCTTAATAGCAAACAACGAATAAAATAAAATTTTCAAATAACAAATTGAATTCTTAAAAAATTATGTTGAATAACAGAAATCAAGAATGAGGAAATATCTATAGACAATAGAATGCAACATTTTATTTCAAGCAGTCAAAATGTAACCACAAATGATAATGATATGATAAGTACTGAAGATAAAATCTCAGGAATAGAAGACAATAAGACAAATACAAAGTTTGGTGAGTTAAAAGATGAACAATTAAGTACTATTTAACCCAAACTAGAAATTAATTGAAAATTTTAAAGAAAAAGTTTCTAATAACAGTGTTGGTAAGAAAGTAAATTTTTATTTTTCCGTTATAGCAGGAATGGAAAATCAAGTTGAAAAATTTGACTATAGCAGTAGAGAAAATGATGGTATAAAAAAAATTTCAAATAAACTTTTACAAATATCAAGCACAGAAAATAATTTTTTTTCATATTACAGAAAATGAGGGTAAAAATGCAAAAATATCCATAGATAGTCGAATGCAAAATCTATTTACAACCACTAATGATAGTAAAGAAAATGCAAAAATTAGTGAGTATTAATAGTTATTTTCGTAACAAGGGCGCAAAATAGGTGATTGCGACGATGGCGAAATGAAGGGACCGAGGGGACACAATTTCGCGCCCGAGGCGAAGCCGAGGGAGCGAAAGTGTCCCCGAGGTCCCGAAATTTCGCCAAAGTCGTAATCACCTTTGCGCCCATGATGCGAACATAATTTTTTGTCCTAACTGCATGGAAAGTATGACATTGAGGGCACGCACGATTAAACGCTCATATTAGTTAAAAATTAAGCTCTATATAAACATTACATCGAATGAAGTTTATAATGATAGAAGTTTTAAAATAGAAATAAAAAACTATGTATTCTGGAAACATAGTATTTATTTAGAACGTAGTAATTAATAATTGAACAAAACTGAAACAAGAACTTTTAAAATTGACAATTTTGATAAACGAAATGGGAACAAAACCAAATGTCTCATTATTTTTTTTAGAGAAAATAAAAAAAAAATTGCAAATTTTTATAGACAAAATAAAACAAGTTGAAAATGTTTGCAGTTCTATAGTCAACATAAAAAGAAAGTCGAAAATGTCGCATTTTAATGAAGAAAATCGAATAATTAACAAGCGGGCGCAAAATACTTTTCCGCCCGCTCGGAGGTAGGGGAAGCGGGCGGAAAATACTTTACCGCCCGCTGACGTCATACAAGCGGGCGCAAAATACTTTTCCGCCCGCTTCCCCCACTCCCGGGCGTAATGTGTTACTTTGCGCCCGCCTTAAGTGCCCGAAATGACATACTTTCCGTGCAGGTAGGACAAAAAAAAATAAATGACATTCAATACATCCTAATGGGAGTCATCATATGTAAGAAACAATATTGTAAATATCAATAATGTTAAAAAAATTTATTTTTCCTTCGAGCAGAAAATGAAAATCATAACAAAGAATTTGACGACTTTGAAGGTAATGGTAATGTAATCACAACCACTGAGGATGTAATCGAAACAACAGAAAGTCGTGAGCATTTTAAAGATATAACTAATTTTTCTTCATTTTTTGTCAAAAATAAATGATAATTAAAAATTATAATTAAAAAAAAAAAAAAAAAAAAAATTAAAAATTATAATTAAAAATGAAATTTATTTGAAAAATAGGAAATGAAAGTCTAAGTGCACAATTAATGGCTGAGAAAGTCGCAGATGATCTAATTCCAAGTACTAACGATGTAATCACAAATGCTAAAGAAGTAATCATAAACTCGGAGAATGGAATAAAAAATACAAATGGTAAGGTTATAAAATTTGAAGCATAATATATTTTTGGAATTAGTAGAAATATTTAAAGAATATTGTTTTGTGAATAACTTATGGAAATTAATTTCTTTTTAAATTTAGAAACAGAAAATGAAAGTAAAAGTATTGTGATGTACGATACAACAGATTTTTGAAACGTAATTGCAAATAATTAAGATGTAACTACAAGTACCGAACATGTGATTGCAAGTGCTGAAGATTTAATTACAAATAAAGAAAAATAATTATTTTCAAATGAATTAATGATTAATAAATGTTTCAAAATGTTTTAAAATAAATTAATGATTTAAATAAACGTTTCATTTGAATCTGTAACTGAAGTTTACGTTTCTTTAGATTAAGTATTATTTTTAAAAAAAGTTCTTGTTGTTTCGGAAAAAGCTCTTCTATAAAAAAGCTCAAATTTTATGAAAAAAGCCCAAATTTGATATTCGACTCCAAAAATAGTAAAAATAAATTTACAACACCAGCGTCCTTTTTCAAGATACAAATTTTTTCTGAATCGGAAATAAATTATAAAAAAAATTCTTAGTACCTCCGTGCTTCGGAAAAGCTTTTCTTTAATAAAAAAGAGTTTTCGAAATTAGAAAATATTTCTCATTTTTTTGCTTTATATAAATTTTTACAACGTTTTCATATTTCATTATAATTTTTTTACTTATTCGAAAAAGAAAGACGAAATAAAATATTTTATGTTTAAAATTTTAAAAACATAAAATAAAAAAATTTGTATTTTTTTTTAAATTTCCAAACTTTGTTAAATAATAAATAACGATGTAAATATAATAAAATAGCGGGAAAATAAATTTAATAATGTTCTCTTACTGATAGCGAAATAAATATTAAAAAAAAAATTTAATCATTACTGTTAAATGCATTTTTTTACTGTTTTAAAATTTTGCAAAATATTATTTTCGACTGTAACTCTAGAGAATTTTAAAAATATTCTTTCAATTAATTTAAAAAATTATTCGTTAAAATTATTTCTTCACATTTTTTAAAAATTTGCCTTTCCTTCTTTCTCTATTTATTCCTTTGAAACTACATTTCTAGTTTGACTGTTGAAAATTATTAAAATATATATTCTTTTAAATTAAAAAATCTAAAAATATCTTATTTTAATTTTCCAGGTCAATTTTTTTTCTGCAAAATGTTTATTTGCCTTTAAGTATATTGCACAAAGTTTAAAAAAATAGAGAAAAATAAATTTTAAAAATTAAAAAATATTTTTAACGAATCAATTTTATTTTATGATTTTACAAATTATATTAATTGAACAAATTAAGGAATTTATTATTGAAAAATAATTTTTTTTTCTAAATAATTTCAAAACGAAAGAAAAAAATTTCTTATTTCGTGATTTTGATGTTAAAATTTTAAATAATCTTCTAAATACGATATAGAGTAATTTATCGTTTTTTACAGCAAAATTTATTTGTTCTTTTAATCTATTCTATGTGTTGTTTCTCTATTGGACGAATGTATATAAAATTCAGTTTACATACATTTTTTTACGTTTTCTTTGAAGGAAATTATTAAGTAAGAAATTGTTTGTATCTAATATTTTCTCATTAAGTTGTCGGAATAGTCGCAATACGGCTTACAGAAAACGCTAAAGGAAATTTTTTTAAGTTTTTTCCCGATATTTAATCAAAGAGAAATGAATCAAACAAAAATTTGGTAAGTTTTTATTTTCTAAAGAAAAAAAACATTATATTTTTCAGTTCATGGTTTTTTTCAAAAATTGCAATTCGAAAGTTTATTTTGTCACGTAAAATAATATTGTATTTTACTATTTTTAGTTTGTTAATTGTATTCGTGATATGCATGTTCGTAATATTGACAAGTTACATGAAAATGCCCAAAACAAATTCAGATAATAATTTGAAAGGCTCTATGTCGGAACTTTATGATTCTGGTAAGCAATTATAAAATTAATATAATATGAAATATTTAACTCTATATATTGTGAAATAAGATTTGTTTTTAATGATATTGAAAATAAATATTAAATGTTTTTAGTTTCAGGATTTGTAAAAGAGCTTCCTGAAAAATTTAAAAACATGTTTCAAAAAAATTAATTTTCAAAGAGTAATGAATAGATTATTAAAACAATAATGTTACATTAGAAAATAATAATTTAAAAATTTGAAATAAGAATGTTTACCAAATTTTTGCCTAAATTCTGTATTTTAGATATGCAATTATTGTATTTAATGTGACATGTTAATAAACAATTTTAAAATAATATCAAAACTTGATTTTTCTTAACAATATCAATATTTTTTCAAAAATAAAAATTCTCATTCCACTTCTCTTATCCTACTTTTGCAAAATTCCTCAAAATTTCTTCTAACAATAGGTTACAATTCAACGTTATCTACAATTTGAATTTACTAATTTTTAAATTTAGAGAAAATATTTTATTTTTAGCGCCAGGATATTTTACTTGTATCTAAAAGATTAATTTACTAAAATTTTAATTAAGCCAGACTAATTCAGAAATTTTTAGGAAAATTCCTAACAAACTGAGGGGGGGGGGTAAGAAGATTAACACATTAATTATTACACTGTCACTAAATTTATATTTATAATTAATTTTATTCAATTTAATTTACTTTAAATTCTAATATTAATTGAACAATTTATTTATTCGGCTGAGTGGCAAATTTTAGAATTCAAATACCGCATAAAAATGCAATGACAAGCATCACTTTTTATAATCAAACTTTTTAACAATGAATATTATGCCAATTGGGTTTGAGAAAATCCTGGGTGAGTCCCAGGCGTACTACATATTTTACAATTTTCACTTATCCGCGCTAGATAATTGGCTTTGGTCGATAAAACAGAACACATTATTATCTATAGTCATCAGCGTGTGAATTTAAAAAATGTTTTGAAATCCCCAAAGTTTGGGGATTTTAATTTAATTAAATCTAAAATAAACTCTTTTGCGGAGGATTGTAAATGTTTTTGAGACAATAGAAAATTTCATATTGTGTATGTGTGTGTGTGGGGGGGGGGGGGTTTGTCGTATAACAAAAGGTAAAAGAACCCTTTTATCTTTTAATGAGAATTCTGCAAATAAAATCCGATATCTCGAAATCGTTGGCAAAAAGGACCTTAATATGGAGGGTTAAGGAGAAATATTTTAACGGGTGTGGTATCTCGGCCTGAGGAGCACCCTACGGCAGGTAACAAGGGAAAAAGGGTTGGGGGGAGGGGAGGGGGTTGGTATATATAAGGTTAGCAAATTAGAAATGCATAACGACTATTCGTAATTGCCTTTTTAAGAGGGCAACTTTAGCGTGACCACAGGCACTCTCATTTCGAATACTAATGGTCATGCCGACATTTTGTGGCCCAATTAATTACCATTTTTTTCTCGTCTTATTTTTTTTTTTTTTTTAATGAATTATATAAAGGGGGAGAAATTTCTCAATAAATTTTGCCAAATTATGCTAATTGAAAAACTTTTCCAAATTGCTTTAAATAGAAATGAATAAGGAATTTTTGGAATAATTATTAAGGATTTGTTCAAAACTATGATGGGTCTTCTATTTTTTAAAAAAATTTATAATAAATAAAAAATGAAAATTGAAATGCAGAAAAAAGACTCACCTTTCTGAGACAGCCGACAAAATTGTTTATTCCCTTTGCACCCGTCAATGATCGTGCATCAGCGCCGCCACCAACAAAAAGTCGATCACTCGCCAATTTCGTAAAGGATCCAGCAGTGTGACCATGTTCTGTATAAATTCCATCTACGTTTGCCGACAGCTGAAAAATAATAATGAAAAAACAATTCAGCAAAGGAAAATTTTTTTATGCAAAATTTTTTTAAAAAAATGTTTCATTTTATGACCTTATTTTTAACAGCGAAAAAAATGCCTTTTCAGTTATTTTAAACAATACTTTTCCAAATGATTGTAATGTTTCTTTATGTATTACTATTTATTAAGTAAAATTCTATGATATTTTTTTTGTCATTCCTAAACAATAATTATTAATCTAATCTGTTTAGATGATAATCTTTATTTCGGATCTCTCTCTCAAATGGCGTAAGTGCTTTCAAACTATAAAAGCGATTTAATGCCTTGACTTAGCCTCGTTTGTCGAAACCACCTGACATCCCCTAAATGTCCTAAATCATCCTCAGCTTTCCGCAAACGATTCTAAATCCACAGCCAGCCCTCTTATCTCCGAAAATGAGAAAAATCCCACATCTTAAACTCCTTCATTTTTCTTAGTTTAAAAAAAATATAATTTAACAAATTTACATTTTTTCACTATCCAATTTAGTGCTCATTCAACAGAGATATCACTGTCTGCTTACGATTAGTAAAAATACAGTACATGAATAATAAAATTTTTTTAAATCCTAAAATTGCCTATTCAGATACTTTAAAAAATACCTTTCATTTTAAAGTATTTAAGTGTAAGTTAAAATCTATATTTTTTGGCCTTTCGGTTTAGATAAAAATAAAAAATTGGTCTAACTATTATACAACAGGATATCACAAAAATATTAAATCGGATTTCTAACATTTTAATCTCATTTTTTTAAACATCAACTGGTAAAGCAAATGTGACAATTCAGTGTTTCCAATATGATTAAGGTAGTAAATAAAGTTGCACATTATCGACTAATGTAATTATAAATAATTGTGTTTCTTTTCGATTAAGATAAGAGAAGCTTGTAAAAATATATAATTTTAAAAATAATTACATTTTCAAGCATTAAATTTGCCTTTTCAGATACTACTTAAAACAAGTCTTTGTTAATTAAACAAATTGCCGAACTAACGTTTTTAAAAATTAGTAATGTAATTTTTTTTTAAATGAATAAAATACTTTGTCGTTATTCATTTTTCATCAATTTAAAAATTGCCTTTTGAGATATTTTAAATAATACTTTTTTTTATAAAAAAGATAAATTATTTAATTTATTTTTTACTCTGATTACTGCAAAAGTATACTTTTGGAATTCAATTTATAAATTTAGAATTGAAACGAACGTCATCGATGTTTATATATTTTTTTTTATTTAAAAATTGCCTTTTTAGATATTTTAAATAATACTTTTTCATAAAAAAAATTTTTTAATTTCTATTTTACTCTGAGCACTACAATTATCCTTTTTTTATTCCAATGCATAAGTTTTAAATGAAAATCAACGTCATTGACGTTTTTATTTTTTCTTCAACTTAAAAATTGCCTTTTCAGATATTTTAAACAATACTTTTTTATAAAATAAAATTATCCGATTTCTTTTTTACCTGAGCACTACAACTATATTTTTTTAAATCTAATTTATAAATTTTAAATGAAAATTAACGTCATCGACGTTTTCATCTTTTCTTCAATTTAAAAATTGCCTTTTCAGATATTTTAAACAATATCTTTTTATAAAAGTGTTGTGTTCAATATTTCATGTTGCATAAAAATTGAGTTTAATTTTTGACATTTCATCAGTGAATAACAATACATAGTTAACATAACCTCACAGTGCAACCGCAACTTTTTTTCTCTTCCTTCAGTTGACTATTTTCTGCATTTGCACCCATCTTTTTAATTGCACTACATTGTGTGGTTCTACGTTTAAATTTTACACTAATTTTGCACCAGGCACATCTTCTTTCTCTAAAATAACATGAGGAAAAGACATTGTTCAAATACATGTTGACGCAGTAACAGGGTCGAAACTTTTGTGCACTGTCATGGCTGCTACGCAGGCGCATTCGCAAATGAATTGAATTCCGAATTGTGGACCAACGTTAATTATAATCTAATTCCGAATTAAAATAAAAAGGTCTATTAAAAATTTCACATTAATGAATATGTATATTGCGATAAGTATATCGCGTCTATGGTACTAAAAAATGTTTTAATCAGACATTACCGTTTGCAGAAAAAGTTATAATAAAATATCAGTAATTTTCCTTCGGTATTTTCTTTTTTTGTCTATTACTCCTAATTTTAACAAAGAATCAATTTCCTCGAAAAGAATGGGAAGAAAATTTCACCAGAATGTTGAGAAAACAGTTTGGGTCATTGAAAAATCGAGTGTTACTTTTTAAATTGAAAAGTATTTCTCTATATACGAAATGGAAGGACGATTCTTATTGATTTAACCCGATCTTGTTGCGGATGGAGGTATGAGACTTTGAAGGGGGTTTTCATAGTGGGGGAGGAGGGGGGGGCTGGAGTGGAGGTTTGGGGGGAACGAGGTCGTTTTTCACGTAGAGTGAGATGGCTTAAATAATTAATGCGGCATTAGTTCGACTGGAGGATGGTTTACGACGTGAATCCATCGTTTCAAAGTCTGATAAAAGAGGAAGCCTTTCGGACTTTTAAGGTTCAGAATCGCCATTGAGAAAACATTTCGTTTTAGTGTTTACTTGAGAACCACTCACTCACTTTACTCACTCACTCGCTCACTCTCTCTCTCTTCTTTATCCGTTGTACCTTCTGCTAAGATTCACATGCGACAAATCCCAAGAGTTTGAATCCCGCTGAAATTCTGATCCCCTGGCAAATACCTCTCACAGTCTGTCGGAAATAACAAGAATATAAGCCACTAGGAAAAGCACTTTCACAAAGTAATCGCCATTCTTCTAGAGGAAGAGAAGAAAAAAATTAACTACTACTGCTTATTCCACGCAATATCAAGGACGATAATAATATTTTTCTTTTTATAGTATAACACGGAATGCTACGGCACTTTTTCTACGTCAATTTAAAAATAACGAAAATATTCGCCAACGAAAATAGTCTCTTTAAAAGTTTAAATTTTCATGCAGAATTTGACATTACCGACTGTTGGAAAAGTAGAAAATTCTTTATTTTTTCTACTTTTCCAACAGTCGGTAATGTCAAATTCTGCACGAAAATTTAAACTTTTAAAGAAACTATTTTCGTTGGCGAATATTTTCGTTATTTTTAAAGAATTTTCTACTTTTCCAACAGTCGGTAATGTCAAAGTTATAAAAGTTTAAAAAAAAAATTATTTTTATAAATAAAATATGTCAAAATAAAGTTCAAAGTATACATGTGCATTAATTTTTAAACTGAAATACTCAATAGTTTTCTCAGAAAAAATTCCTAAAATATCGACTTTTTTTTCGACTGTCATAACTGGATTGAACCCCTTAAAACTATATAAATTTGCCTTTTCAGATATTTTAAACAATACTTTTTATTCTAACTTTTTTATTTATTTAACTAACAATAGGTTTTAATTAGGAAGCAAAATTGACATTTAATTTTTGTTTTTTCAAATTAATTGCCAACGAATATAAAAAAGTAACGCAAACTTTGGGGGAGGGAAATTGAATTTGTCAAAGCTAACACGTTGTTTAGTTTGTGGATAGGAAAATCTTGTGATTCAGCAGAGACTATTCTCGAGCGCGCAAGAATAGGGCAAAAGCGACAGTGAATTATGGCAGAAATGTAACAGGGTATTTCAGTGGAAAAACATCGGTAATTAATGGGTTTAGTGGTAAAGCTTGCAGGGCTCGTCCAACAGCTTTCTTGTCGCATAAATGTATAACCTTCTTTATTCTGTTTTCTTTCTTCTCCCTCACTCTTTATTTATTAAAAAATACAATTTTTTTGACAACATAATATTTTTTTTTAGAAACACTATCATAAATGTAATAAATTGTTATTTATTCTTTGACTTTTATAGAATCAAATTTGCTTCACTGAGTATGAATGTCGGAAAGAATTATATTCCTTCTTAAATTTGTAAAAAGAAATTTTTTTTAAAAAGAGTTTTTTTATTGTGATTTCTACATTTAATTATTAAAATTATTTTGAGTAACGTTTAATTTTCGATTAATTGTAATTTAAAAATGTTTAATTAAAAAGGCTAAAGGAGGTTATAAGGATAAAAAGTATCTGGTAATTAGTTTTTAATGTTGTTCCTTTAAAAATATATTTACGAATAGAGAATTTTGTCTCTTAACTACAGGAAATTATATTATTGAATGGGAAATAAAGTTAGCGTTCTGTTATTTTTGATTTCAATAAAGTGAAAATTCATTGGCGAAAAGGAAACAGTGAAGAAGGGATTAATTGGCTTAATTAAAAAGTTCCTACAGCGGATTCGCCATCCTGCTGGGATTATGTCTCCGCAAACGCGTTAAGCTGGCATTACACGCGCTACTGCGGGGAAGCTTTGGCGCGATTACTGTCGCGATTGCGGTTACAATTAATTTTCAGAAAGGACTTTCACCCCTTCCGCCATCCCGAAAAAAAAGTTCTCTTATACTTGAAAAAAAAATTTTTTCTACCAACAACCCAAAATTATTTAAATATTTAAAAAAAAATTATTAACAACTGAATATTATTTTTTATTATCTTTCGATAATAAAGTCATAACATTAAAAACATAAATAAAAATTTATTAGCTAATTTTGTTTTAATTTTATAAAATATTTTATATTATTATTACCTGAAAATAAATTTTCATAAAACATTCTATGTTTAAAAAATATATATAAATTGAAAAGTATTTTAACGGGACAGAAAAAATTGATGCTTTCGACTAGAAAGTTTAGCTTTTTTTTACCAGTTACACTCTCTTTCAGTTTCAACTTCCTTTTCTCTGTATGCTTTCCCTCTGGTGTTACAGGGGAAAAGAACCAAAATGAAATTTCAAATAATTTGCATTTTTATTTAATTTATTCCAAAGCTGTCACAGCTCTGGGATGATGCACATATGTATAAATTTGTATCGCCCTCCTATTCGTATACTTATGCAAATGAGCCGAGGAAAACTTGAGAAGAAAGGATATTTTGAGAAAAAGGGTAATATATGAAGAGCAAATGATGCCTATAAAATAAAAAAAAAAATATGTAAAATTTTTTTTTTCTATTCAAAATCTCGAGAAATTCTCTCACATTCTCACAATATGTTTCAATATATAAGATATTATTTGATAAAATCCATATTTCACTCGAACAATGTTCAGTCCACTTCAGAATGGAAAAGCACTTTGACTTTGGAAATTCATTAGTTCCTCTTCATAAGGGAATCTAGTTTCAAGTGGAGATATTCTGAAGATATTGAACTCTAGAGAGATTCGCGGCGAGAATTAATTAAACAAATTTCGTGGAGCCTTGAAGCTTATAGAGAGATTGTAAGAGAGACTTGTTTTCTTCTTCTTCTTCTTTCATAAAAGTACTTTTTCTAATGAGGGAAAACAATTCATTAATTTGGACACGAATTCTCGTACTTTCATTATGACGTAATTACTTTATTCTTATTGAAAATTTTAAGGAATTAAAGTCACCAAGCCATAAAATTATAACGTACCTTGTACACCAGATTTAGAATAATTATAATTGAAATTTTTCTAATTTCCAATATTTCTTTGTTCATAAAATAAAAATTGAAAAAACTTTAAAAAAGATACTCGAAATTAATATATAAAAAATAACTTATTGATAAAATAATTCACATGTGCTCAGTCATTAACTTTTTTCATTAAATCTATTCCAATATTTTTTTCAATCATTGTACTGCATTTTCATACAACATATAAAAATTTAAAACACTTTTAATAATTTTTTTTCACATCTAAATAATGCAGTAGCTGTAAACAGGGCCGAAACTTGAAACGTAAATTCAATTACATGTAACGCATACGCAATAGAAATGAATGGAAATGAATAGGTCTATTATAACACAAAATTCTAATGAAAAGGTATTGCTTAATATAACTATCTTGTTAACAACAATTTTTATCCATATAATAAAGAATGAATGGAATAATCAAATATATTATAAACACAACACTTTTATAAAAATGTATTGTTTACAATATATAAAAAGGCAATTTTTAAATTGAAGAAAAAATAAAAACGTCGATTGACGTTAATTTTCATATAAAATTTATAAATTGGATTAAAAAAAATATACTTGTAGTGGTCAGGTAAAAAAAAATCAAGTAATTTTTTTTTTATAAAAAAGTATTGTTTAAAATATCTGAAAAGGCAATTTTTAAATTGAAAAAAATATAAACGTCAATGACGTTAATTTCAATTTGAAATTTATAAATTTGATTCAAAAAAAAATAGTTGTAGTCCTCAGAGTAAAAAAAGAAATTAAATAATTTTTTTTATGAAAAAGTATTTTTTAAAGTATCTGAAAAGGCAATTTTACAGTTTTAAAAATAATTACAGTGATCAACAAGATATGAATTATTTTTTCCGTTCCACGTATGAAAATGTCAATATTTTAACAAATTTTTGTCGTTAAACACTTTTATAACTACACGACAACTTTTTCGTTCGTCGGGTAAAGTGAAATTCTACCATAACACGGGATTATTGAAAGGAAATGATGTCGAATTTAAAAGAGTAATACTGAATTGAAATGGGAAGGTGAAAAATATTATGACTCGAGAGTAAAGTAGTTTTAACTTATTTAACGCAGGGGTGGGGGTGGGGGGGTTTTAAGGGGTTGGTAAGCGATACTGCAGAGACGGTTACTGGAAGGCGAATTCCTGAATGCGAATTAGCACCCTGCCCAGGAACATATGAGTCTGCGGAGAGTGTAAATTTATACTGACTGCAATGTGCTGCAGCTTACCTGTTACATTAATTTTAACCCCCTAACCCCCTTAACCCCACGCCAACCACTGGCATTACGAATAATCCTCCCTCCCCTCCCCACTCTTCCTAAAGAGACACATTTCACTATTATTTCTCCCTAATGATAATATAATTTTGATTAATTATTTTCATTTCCAACTATACATTAATCAAAGTAGCTGTAATCGTGTTAAAAATAAAATGTACGAAAATATTTCTGTCTTCATTGAATAATTTGAATTTATGCGTTTAAAATCAATTTTAAGATGGCGTCGCGTCGTTATTTAAATTATTATTAGCAGTTATAAAAAATTCCTTTATTTAAATTTTTACTGTAGCCACAATTGAGATTAAAAAAAAATTCTTTCTCATTTTTTAAAATTTAAGTCATAACAAGTCTCGAGTTTATAAATACTTTTTTTTAAACTAGAGCTCAAGTTTCTCGTGTTATTATTTTTATTTCATATCATATTTAATTAAAATCGTTTTTCTTTTCTTCCTAAAATTATTAAGTTCCAAAATTATCATCTTTCAGAGAGTGTATAGAGTGTATTATTTCACAAGATAATAATATCCCTGAGGCATGGGGTTGTAAGACATAATATTAGAAAATAAACACAGAAAAGTTTATAATAATTAATAATTTCAAAAGGATGTAAATATTTTTTTATATTCAGATTGTAAGTGGATAATAATTTTAAAAGAATTATTGTTTAAAATATCTGAAAAGGCAATGTTTAAAATGAAAAAAATAAAAACGTCGATGATGTTAATTTTTATTTAAAATTTATAAATTGAATCCCAAAAATATAGTTGAAACGCTCAGAGTAACAGAGAAATTAAATAATTTATTTTTTATATATATATATATAAAAGTATTATTATAAATATATGAAAAAGGCAGTTTATAAATTGAAAAAAATTAAAACGTCAATAACGTTAATTTTTATTTAAAATTTAAAAATTGAATTCCAAAAATATAGTTAAAATGCTCAGAGTAAAAAGGAAATTAAATAATTTAATTTTTTTACATAAAAGTAGGATTGTTTAAAATATCTGAAAAGGCAGTTTATAAATTGAAAAAAATTAAAACGTCGATAACGTTAATTTTTATTTAAAATTTATAAATTGGATTCTAAAAATATTGTTGCAGCGCTCAGAATAAAAGAAATTAAATCAAGACCTGATTTTCAAAAAAAAACAGAATTTATTTATAAGTAAACTTTTTTGAATATTTATCATAATTTCATATTTTTATAGAAAAAGTATTATTTAAAATATCTGAAAAGGCAATTTTGTGGTTTTCAAAAAGGAATTATTTTTAGTACCACAGTTTTTGGAAGCATGATCTGTTCATCTCCCAACGAAGTTTCACGTTTTTTTCAGGATTTGACAATTAAAAATCTTTTTCTTTTCTACATATAAGATCATTAAAATTCAAACGTACGTAAAATTAATTTTAATCGTCGAATCAAATATAGATTTTCCAACTAGTCAAATATTTAAATTACGTTACGAATTTAGTCATACAGGTCACAAATTTTTTCTGATGTAAAATGTATGTAAAATTAATTTTAATCCTCGAATCAAATATAAATTTTCCAACAAGTCAAATATTTAAATTACGTTACGAATTTAGTCACAAAGGTCACAAATTTTTTTCGAGATCTAAATTTTTTTTTATATTAAATATATATCTATAAATATAACCATTAAACTATAACTATAAAAGTGTACTTTATACGCAATAGGAAGTCCTTAGCATTTAAATTTTCCATGACAGGTCAAAAGTTAAATTTTACTTTTCTCCTATTTTATTACCTCGTAAAAAGCGTCTTTGAAAACTTTTTTTCTCGAGGTTTTATAGTGTCTTTCATATATATATATTTTTTTATTCTAAAAGTAGAAAGATTAATACTCAAAAGGCTCACTCACCCTACAAAATCTCGTAATAGACGAAATCTGAAACAGAGAGAAAAAGAAAAAATTAGTCTTCCTTTGCAGTTAAAGAATAAAAAGAAACTTTTTTTTGCTAATTTCAATAGTGTTTTAATACTATATAAAAATTGAAAATCGCAATTTTTTGTGCTTAAAAAAAGAAGAGAAAATATTTGAAATATTTCAAAAGTTTCAAAAATGTAGGATTTAATTTACAATTTTGAAATGAAATAAAAATTTAAAAAAATTATTATATTATAAAAAAACAAATTATTTTGTAAAAAATTTATCCTTTACAAGTTGACAGCAAAATTGCTGAGAAATTTAAAATTCATTAAACCATTATTTTTCAGTGAAAAACTTTCTTTTTGATGCAATAAAATTAAGGCGCTTTTCCATGCTATAAAATCGAAAAGAATTCGAAGCGAGTGAAGAGGGAGAAAAAGAGAAAGAGATAAAGTCCTAAGGGATGTATGAGAAGCAAAGGAGCAGAACTTTTGGTACAATTATTATGCAACTAGCTGGTTCGATGCATTTTTCTCGTTCGCAAAAAGAACCATTACGTATTCAAGGAGAAGTTTGAAGCGACCTACCGAGACATTGTAGTCGCGAAGAAAATATTACTCTTCTCTTCTTTTTTTTTACAAAAAGAAAAAATAGATACACTAAAACTTCTCATTCCAATTTTTTATTCAACTTTAGAGATCTAGTCAAAACTTTTTAAACCTAAAAGTAGCAACATCAATTATTAGAGATACCGTTTACACCTTCTACATCTTTAATGAGTATCTTAAAAAATCTATAAGTAGTTTTATAAGAAAAATTTACAAGACTTTCTAAAAGATCTATCCATTTAAATATATACCGAGCAAAAGTTTATGATGATATAATTTGAATGATTTTCATTTGATAAAGAATCATTGGGAAAAATTTTCCCCAACAATTACCCTTATTCCAATCTGTTTAATTAAAAATTTCACTTTTCATCATATATCAGTGTTTATCTTCAATCCTTACACCTCATCCATCTTTCTTGTTTAGATTTAAATGTATCACGACGATGTAAACGAGCGCATGCCTCAATGTATTGATAAGACACTATCTCGCGTAGTTATTACAAAGTCATCGAGGTGAAATCAAGCGGTGTTCATGCTTTGAGAGTAATTAATTGCCTTTATGCGAAACTGGTTAATTAACTTGGAATTTACAATCGAAGAGATGAGAGGGCAAAAGTAGGGGGAAGAAAGGGTGAGTGGTGTTTATTAAAAAAGAGACTGATACAAGAGCATAAGAGCATTACCAATATATTGATGTCCGCTAATTGCTTTTATACACATTCTATGGATATTCTTTTTAATATATAAATATTCGCACTTTTTTCCCCATCTATCTGTTTTTTCTAGATTAAAAATTCCAGATATTCGAGAAATTTCATATGCAAAATTCATATTAATTAGCATTTAATCAATTAATTAATTAAGTTAATTAGATTTTTTAACTTTTGAGCAGTTAAATGAACACTGCATTTTTTTCTTGTCCATCATACTGTCTAGTTAATCAAAGGTTCATACTTGTGATTGTAATCCTAAAATCTAAATAGAAGCGGATTTTAAAACATTCTTAGGACGTCCATGTCCAGTAAAAGAACATCCTGAAGAAATCTTATGTCTTTATAGTAGTATTTTTATGTTATAAAAAATAGCCCAGTATTCAACCACAAATAAATTTTTTGTTTGCTTTTTTCGTTGCGGACGTTTTTTTATGAAACGTCAATTACATACCGCTTTTAAGAGTTGTTTTAATGCCAACTTTCTGATATCAAGATATCATCGATCTCAATGTCAAAAAAAATATTAGTTTGTGCCAATTAAAAGAACGTTCCAAAGAAATCTTATGTCTTGATAGTTGAATTTTTATATTTAAAGAATAGCCCAGTATTTAACCACAAATAAATTTGTTTCTCACTTACACTAGAAGAGGTCCAAGCAAGCCTGGAACGAAGTCTTCGAAAAGCTACAAATCAGGAAGGTCACTGTCATATAGGACCTAAGTATCAAAGTCCATCCTTTGATTATCTTACCCTGGAAGACGAGGTCTAGCAAGTGTGCAACGAAGTCTTCGAAATGTTGTTAATTGACAATAGGGTGCATTCGCCCTATTGAAAGGGTAAATAAAATAATTGAATTTTGAATCGTATTTCTGATGCATTGGACATCTTAAAGACTTGATTATAATTATCTCACCCGAAGGAAGAATTCCAAAACAAAAACTTTTGTCAAAAGTTAAAAAATCATTTGTTCTTAAGTTTATATGAAAATTGTATACCTTTCGTTTCCTCTATTTTCATTTCTTTGATAGTGCCACTGACATATGGCACACTCTGTGATAAATGAGTAACACTACACTCTGACTCACGATAAGATTTCTAAAATACAAATATTTTACGCACGTTCTTGTGAAAGGAAAAGAAACTTTTTCTTCACAATGTTATCGCATTACAATCATTTGAAATGGTTGTATTCTCTTTGATCTGCATATTTTATTTATAATATGTATCAAGAATTCTCGACTTTTTAACAATGTTGAAATGTCGATACGTCATCGAGATATGAGCCAAATTATTGGAAAAATCGTATTTGTTATAGAAGGGAATTGGATTACATAGTATTATTAAATAATGTTATATATATATATATATATATATATATATATATATATATATATATATATATGAATAAAGTAAAGCATTAATGAAATGAAGTAACAGCGGTGGGAATAATTGATTGTAGTAACTTATTTTTGTCTAAAATTTATTTTTTACTATTAATAATACGAGTACCGTGTCAAAGATAAGGGACTAGTTTTGGTTGTATAACAAAGACTGTCTAAAACTAGTGTAAAGTTCGTTAGAAGTCGACATATGCACTCAAATGCAAATTTTGAGCTGGTAAGCTGTTGCATGAATTCTCTGACACGTTCTCGGTTATTTGAGATATACGTTCAAGGAGTGAGAATTTCTTGATCTCATCGTCATCCCCGTCTTCAAATGGTAAATCTTATATCAAGTCAGGTGTCTCACACTCACAATTTCAATTTAAAATTTGTTATGTACTTTTTCCAAGTTTCACACAAGTCTATAGCGCGCAATGTGTAAATTATTTTTGAGAGACAAGAGCTCTAAAAAATTTGGCGTTGTCAGTGCAACACAAATTATTTTACAATATACTCTGCTTAAATGAATTCAAATTTCCGGTTTTGTCTTCCAAACTATACACGCTGTATGAATTCCTAATGTATTTTATAAATAATATATCACCATTGAGAAAAAAAAATGAATATTTCTTTCAGTATTTTTTTGTCAATGTTTAAAAAAAAGAAATCTAGCAGCTTGTCGATATAAAAATGAAGTGCAGCTTCCAGCTTTTATGGTTTCGCGTACATTTTTCTTTTTTTTTAAATTGAAACACGAGAGGCAAAAGGAGAATCACGTTGAGTACTAAAAAGGAGTATGGGTGGGTGGATCGTGAAAGAAGACCGTTCTGCTTTCCACTTTATGAAAAATTTCCCTCTACATTTTCCTCGAGTAGCCACGTGCAGTGGTTCTCTCGTTTCAAAATAGTTCTTAATAAAATTACCGAATATGAATAAAGAGAAGTCTCCTGAGTAGAACCGTTCACGAGCTTTTTCGTATATTCTTTGTATATGTGTCACTTAATAACAACTTAGAAAAAAGATTTTATTAGTATTTAATAGAAAAAAAAATACTTAAACCATAAAAAAAATATAAATATATTTATATATATATATATATTTATATATTATATATTATATATTATTATATATTATATTTTATATTATATATATTTATTTTCAATATAAATTTAATTCCAATTTGTTATTATTTGCAGCAGCAATTATTTCAAACTATTAAAATCTAGAAAAATTATTAAATTAATTTATTTTTGTAAAAAAATAAATATTTTTATAAATTTAAATCAATTAAACAGGTATGTTAACATATGTAGCTGTGTGAGTGGAACGTGAACAAGAGTGAGGTGTTTTACTATGCAAATGTTGAAGCTAAGTTAATGGCAATTTTAAAGCAAAACGCCTGCAGTAATTTTCATGCCCGCAGGAACGAAAATACAAAGGTGAAGAACCTGGTCTAGACGACCGAATCCCATCTCCTTTTGAATGCACATTCATAGCAGTATCCTTTAACTATACTATAACCCTGGTATATGTACTGGGTGTAACCAAAAGTCTTGTGACACTATTTCTTGTATTAAAATTTTTGAAACATTTGATGTTTCAAAATCAGCAGTTCTACGACTTTGATTTTCTTACTCAGTCCTAAAGACATGTCTTCATAGTTGCATTTTTATATTTTAAAAATAGCCCAGTATTTAACCGCAAATAAACTTTTTCTTACTTACACTAGAAGAGATACAGAACCGAGGTCTTCGGAAAGCTACAAAACAGGAAGGTAACTGTCATAGAACCTAACTATCAAAGTCCACCTTTTAAAGAAGAAACTGTTTTTAGAACGTCCTACAGATATCTTGTCTGGATGGTTGCATTTTTATATTTTGAGAATAGCCCAGTATTTAACCACAAATAAATTTGTTTCTTACTTACACTAGAAGGGGTCCAGCAACTGATGATGCAAAAAAGGCAAGACTGGAAGTTTTCTTTTTAGAAATTCACAAAAAAAATCTTTTGCTTCCGGATTGTAGGTGTACATCTCCCCTAAAGTCATCTAGAAACTTTCTGTCACACCCTGTGTACATAAATACACTTACACCTTCCGTAGCAAGTTAAAGGCCTAGACACATTCGTATGGGTCACTTGGTTTTGACAAAGGAACATAGTGTGTAAAGGCATGCACGAAAATAGTTTGCCGTATCTCACATTCGCTCGTGACAGAAGCTGCCTTCCTAATGGTGTAACGAACATATATATATATATATATATCCCTCCATACACATATATATGTGTTTGTGTATGTGCTCTTTTGTGCTTGCCTATCAAATTGTCAGTCTTCATGATAATTGTGTTTCTTGAGAGCTTTAAGTATACACACATAAATATACACGTGAGAGACTATATTTACAAATCCCTCTTCAAAATCCTATACTAATAGTAGAAAATATATATAGAATTCTGTATATATTAAATAGGATCAAGAATCATTATCTTTTCCTTATTACTAATTGGTACGAAAGATCAACATTTTCTCCTATATTCATAAATTACGTTTTAAATCATCCAACTCCCAAAAACAAAATATTAATACTGTACGTATTTTTTATTTCTATACACGAAACTTCAATATATTTCCAGTACATTTGTGTTTTTAATTTCATAATGCATTTTCATATTTTATTCATGAATATGTATATTTCGAGAAAGTTCCTTTTAATACATTTCATAATAAATTATATTCATGCTAATGCTCTGTAATATATTTTCGTTTATATTTCAGAAAAAAATTTTAATAATCAGGTAGGTATGTATGCATTTACCATTTTCATCAAAAATTTTAATATTCCATATTTAATTACAAATAATTTTGCAATAATTTTCATATAATTTTTTTTTATAATTTTAATATAATTTTACCTACAGTAATGGGAGTCCATTAAAAATTATTAAAATACTTTTTCTTTGTAAAAATAGAGGAAAATTGAATTTTTGTAAAAATGTGCATGTACATATTAGAAGATGGAATATAATGAGTGGAAAAACAAGAAGAAGGAAAATGAAGAAAGTTATCTACACTTCCGCTTAACCGATTTGCTAGATTGAATCTGTCAAAGTTTCGTGAGAAGTTTCCTGTCATGAAGAAGAGCGAGACAACTGTTTGTGGTAATAGAGAAATTTATTTATCGACTACTGCAAACTACGCCATTGATCAATGGTTGTAATAGCTATTCCCAAAGTGCATGCGCAACTCGCCCTCACAGATATGCACACTCACACGAATTCCTAATGAGTACAGGCCATTAATTAATTAATTAAAGGATAGAGTCGAGTAATTCAGAAAATATAGTACTACATTGTAGTTCAAGATGAACGATCAATGTTATCGAAAGAAAATTAACTAAAAAAACTTCATAATTATACAAACTGTATTTATTTACACTTTGTTTTTGATTGAATGCCTTTAGACGATTTTTGCATAATGTAAAGCTATTTATAGAAATAAATACTCGTACATACCTTCTAAAAATTTCTCCATCTTCAAATTCAAAAAAATAGCCCAGTATTCAACCACAAATGACTTGTCGTAATGACACTTTCTCATTAAGATTATTAGTTATGCCAATAAATAGTTATTCCTTTACAAGAGAAAAGCATCTAAAACCAAATATATCGAGAAAATATTGAAAGCCAATATCCAAAAAAAGATGATGTTAAAATACACACCAAATTTAAAACAACACGGACCAATGAACTAAAGTTTTCAAATCGTGTCTGAGATCTGATATTGTTTCCATAAGTTACAATTTTATGCGATTTAGTATCATTTCATTTTATGCTTTTTTTCGTTCTCATTCGTTCGATTTCCAGCGATGTCAGGTCTGGTTTATAAGTTTCTGCTACGAACATTATTACGTCTTCCCATCTCGAAAGAGAGAGAGAGATAGAGAGAGAGAGAGAAGGTAAAGGAATCTATTTTCGTGATACATGCGAATATACAGTAAAACCCAATATTATTAAAGCAAGAGAGCAAAAGCCAAAAGATGCGATTCACTGAGTATTTCTTTTCAAAGTTCCATCTCGCTGGTACGACAAAGGTTGGTTCGTAATAATAGTAATAATAATAATAAGAATGATAATAATAATAATAATAATGCACTTTTTAGAAATAGTGAATAAAATTCCTCTTGAAAATCTCTTACTTCTTTAAACAAATGACTCGAAACAACTTTATTGACCTTTTTTTTATTTTATTGCTTCTATTTTTATACATTTATTTTATAATATTTTATAATTTAATGGATATCAGAATTTTTTCACCTGCTAAGATAATTATTGTCTTATTGACAGTCGGTTCAATAGTGACCTGTTTTATCATACATGTTATACTAAATTGCAACATATTGGGAACAATGACAAATGGGGACTTTGGTTATATTACCTACCATTCAGTCTCGAAAAATGTCACGATATTTAAAGTGACATTAATTGAATTCGTTTGTAAAATAATTATTAAAGTAAATGTTAGTTAATAAATTAATTCAAAACCCGTGATTATATTTGATTTTCGATATTTCTTGCAACTCTAATTACAATTATTGATAATAATCTGATTTATATGAAAATGATAGGAAAATATTTTAACCTATTGATTTCATAATAGGATTTCGTGTCAAATCGTGGCACTGTTGACAAATGGCGAGCGTGGAGACGACGAACGCCAGCATCGTTATCATTGACGCGTGTGAGGGAGAGTACATGTAACATAACGTAATTATTAATGCATTGCTGTCACACGCTTCGCTATCCAAATGTATACCCTCTTTCACATAAACTGACACCATTTTATGCGATGCATACTTTATATGTATATTTACTTTGCGTTCATTTATTAGCAATTTATTATTATTAGTATTATAATTGTTATTATTTATTATCATTTGTTATTTGCATTGATATTCTAAGTAAATTCCTAATAGAAAAACAACTAATTTTATTTGGCTGGATTTGGCAAGATGACGGTCGCTATTGGTCAGAAATCATAGCGATGACGCTTGCTATTGGTTCATTTTCTGTGTTCATATGTGAAGAGTGTCAAAAAGTACAAAAGTATATTAAAAGTGAAAAATTGACAAACACGAGGTGAATAAAATAAAATTTAGTTTTTCGATCTTTGATACCAATTATTCTAGAATAAGTCCACTGGATTGTTCAAAACTTATGTCTTCATAATTGCATTTTTATATTTTAAAAATAGCCCAGTATTTAACCACAAATAAATTTTTTCTTACTTACACTAGAAGTCCATTCATAGGACCTAACTATCGAAGTCCACCTTTTGAAGAAGAAACTGTTTTTAGAACGTCCTACAGACATCTTGTCTTGATAGTTGCATTTTTATATTTTTAAAATAGCCCAGTATTTAACCGCAAATAAATTTGTTTCTTATTTACACTAGAAGGAGTTAGTTTCGAGTCTTGGATTGCCTTACTAAAGTAGAAGAGGAACGAATTTATTTTATTAAAAATAATTCATTTTGCACTAATTTTTTCCTCCTCTATAAAGCACAAGATCCTGCAATTACTAAAAACAGAAAATCTTCTTTAATTTAGGATGAATTTATCTACAATTCGTGCCTGACTTCGAGATCGCAACGAGGGAAAGTAAATCTGCATGGAGATTTGTTAAGAATTCTAACGAGGTCGCCTTCTACATAGCTATACCGTTTAACTGGGAATGAGTCACGAGAGGGTGATAGAAAAACAAAAAAGCAAGAAAAGAAGAAAGAGAGAGAGAGAGAAAGAGGGTGTGTGCATATACGCGACTCATATAACATAAAAGTTTTTGTGAACAGCAAAAAGTTAAAAGTACTGCAATACAAAGAGTCTTGAAAGGCAACGTTTTAGGGGGACCTACTTTCAGATATTTTTCCACCTTCTTTTCTGACCCAAAAAAATCAACCACAAAGTGTCTAAAAAACGAGAACTAGGTTAAAAGAACTTTGAACACAAAAAATCGTTTATCTCTTTAATCAATCATTCCTCTGAAGAAATTTTCTAATTTTGCAAATACTTTAAAAAGAATTATCTAATTTTATAAAAAAGATTTCTTTTCGAAATTTTCATAACAGCACGGGGAAAATATTTTTTTTAAAAAAACTCACCTCTTGAACTTTTCTGTGAACGATGATTTTGTGCCATTGATTATCGTCAAATCGAACCCTCGCCGGTTTGATGTGAAGGTCCAGCCTTCCATTTGCTAGGGTCATGCCAACGGCAGCTCCTCCATCTTTTAATGAGACTGTCAGATAGTCACCCTCTTCGCCTAAAAAAATGAAAAAGAAAAAAATTCAATTTCATTTAATTCAAAAAAATTTTTTATAAAAAAGAAAAAAAAATTAATCATTTTTATCAAAAAGTTTCAAGACATTTTTTTTTCGTTTTATTTGAAATAAATTGTTTTTTTTAATTAACGTTCCCTCGTAAATTTCTTTATTGTTAAATTTTTAATAGAAAAAAGAGGATATCAGGTATTTCTTTTTTAATCACAATATCGTTGGGCAATTGGATTTTGGCGTCTTGAAAATCGTTGCACGTAGACGTCGTTCATTATAACGCAATTTCCATTAAAGGCTAACGGGCAGCTTTTAATGTGACACTAAAAATAAACCGGACCAGTTCGAAGTCTTAATCCCCATGCTTTGAATTGTCCTACTCTTGAGATAATTTCCCGCCTTCCAATGTTGGGATAAAACTCGATAATTAATAATGGCACCCGTCGAATTAAGGTTAATACTCTTCAGAAAATCTAATTCATTTCAGAGACTGTAATGCTCATTATATAAATGCAATCAGAAAGATTTAAATCAATATCAACAGTGAGTTCCTAATTACTAGTTTCATCTCAAAAGCAATCTGATCTGTTGGTTATATTATTGTTATCACAAACATGACATTTTAAATATATTGATTTCAATCATATAAAAATCTGTACGTCACAACTTCCAGTGCAAACAACTAGAACTTAGATTGCTTTACCCAGGAAGTCTTGAGAAAGCAAAGTTCCACGCGGATAACACTAAAATCCCAAGGGATTTAAATGATTTAGATTTTAACAATCATTTGTAGAACTAGGATTCATAATCTAAGAATAGTTATACTACTGTGAAACCTAACACTAGGTCCGCAGTTAATTACAGTAAAAAATTCTCTTCATCTTCCACCTGAAAGTGACACTACACAGCATTAAAAAATTTGCGAGTACACATATAAAACTAATGAAACTAATGAGATTTTTTTTTATTTTAAACCTAGAGAGCAAAGATATGATATTACAAAAGAAGGTGAAATTCGCGTATCGAGTTAGTTACGTTTGTTAGTTTGTTGTTGAATCCGGTTGGAGTTGCTTTTCCCGGAATGAGAAACCGCATACTAATTATTCCGCGGGGTAGGTTAGAAGCGTATAAAAGATGCAGACGGTGCTTTGGGCTTAATTGTCGGTGTGCTACCGGCGTGAATTTATATGCAGCCTAGCGCAACGCATAAATCGCTCCATGTGCAAAAACCCTCTTCCCTCATTCCAACACTTCAAAAACAGACTTTTTCATTTTCAAAAAGTTGAATATAAACCACTAATTACAACACATGGTCACCACTTAGACATTCTAAATTATAAATAAAATATATCCTACAATTCATTAATACTACTAAGCCAAAATGATCAACAGGAACTTTAATTATTCTTTAATAATTCTCAATTTTATACCATAACAAAAAGGCTATATATCAATTTATAAAAAAGGGATATTCCTCTTGAAGATTTATGAAAAAAAGGAGAATAATAACCATGCGTTGTTTTTGTGTCCTAATTAGATGAAAATCTCTCGCGGATTATTCAAGGCACTGGCAAGAAAATGGCAAGGGATGCTGCAGTTGCTTGGGGTTGCAGCTGCAGGCTGCATTGGGAAAAGCCGAGTACTTATTGCTACTCGGTCCGCATTAGTGCCGCGCACCTACCTCGTCCTACTTTTGCCACTTCCTGTTACCGTTGCGGCGCACTGCTACCCTTCTCACTCTCCCTAGTTGCTCATTTATTCTCTGTATAAACTACCCATTCGGATTACACGTTCAAGCACGCCATTGTTGTTTATTAAAGGTGTGTGACCACGATCCTTTAAGATTCTTCTAACGTCCAATTATATTTTTCTCTTTTTTTTAAATCCTTTTATTTCATCTCGACCCTAATGACGAACAGGGACGGTTCTCTATCCAAACTTTCAAGTAAAATTATTTGAAAAGCCATTATTAATCGTATATTATATTTTAAATTCTTTAGGGAACAAAAGAAAAAAGAGAAGTCAGAGTTGTTTTTTTTACTAGACGCTGCTGCGGAAAATTGCATTACCAACGGGTCACCTATGGCTCGCTAAAATCCGTCGTCCAATGTCTTTGTCTGGATAGCAGATGCCAAATATGATATTCTGTATTTTGTCATTCTTCTATTGGTTCTCCACTTACATGTAATAAAATTTTTATCACATTGACCCAAAGTTGATAAAAGTGGGTGGTATGACCCATAAGCCGTTCAGGAAACGCTTTTAAGTTAGTCCAGAAGACACCACCGAATCAACTTCGCGTCTTCTTCGTGTCAATCCAGCAACCGTGACCAAGTTAACTAGTTGTGTACTGTCATCGAGTTTGTTCTTCAACTCAGAACATCTTTTTAAGTACCGAGTGCATTCCTCGAGTCTCTTCTTAGTCAAGTTCATTCAAGGAGATAATTTCTACTACGAGGCACATTTCTATTTTTCTAAGGACTGCATTACCTCGAAATCAACGTCAAATCAGTAATTCTGTCACTCCAGGCTGAGAGGTGATATATTGATTATAATTATAATTCACATCGACACCTGAACGCCGGATCTTTTACTTTGGCTGTCCCGAAAACAATTTGAAGGAAATCTACTGCATTCTCTGTTTCCGCTATGAAGTATTGCTTGTTCAGTCTATGACTCTAAGAATAATTTTTAAAGGTAATTAACTAATACTTTTAAATTTTGTCCCCATTTAAATTCTCGATTGATTCCACAAAGTTATAATTTTGTTTCAGTGTCCCTGAAGACATCTGGATCTACTCTTTCTCTCTGATTCTAATTGTAAAGGATTCAAATAAAAACTTTAATAAATTAATTTCAATTTAACAGCTAGTCTTTCTGAAATTCTGTTTTCCACTCTGTCTCTCGATCTATCAAAAATATTCCAAGGAATTCTTTTGTTAAATAATTTGCATAATGCATATTTACGCTTTTCATAAGAAGCAATAATTATTATCGTCCTCAAGTTTCTCAATTACCCTACTAGTCGCCAAAAAAATTTAATCCACAATTAATAAACGGTACCCTTTGGGAAAATTAACCTGACAGTTGAGAAGGAATGAAGATTTATTTACTATCTATTTATATGCATATATATTAGCGAAGTTTCAATTGCTTGTGAAGAGGTCGCCAAAGAGCAAAAGTTTCAAATTGGCTGTAATACTCTAAAGAATAGACGCTGCGCAGCTGTTTAATATGCGACTATTGTCCAGAGGACTCCATTGTCTATCTACATTTCTCCGTTGGGCATCTAACGGATCCCCCTGGAAGTTACTCGATTAAATCTAACTGCTCTTAAACCAAGGGTTCTTCTCTGAATTCCATCCTCTCAACCTTTTCCCTCTCTTTTCCTCATCGTCCTCTCAATCTCAAGCGACGAAAGCCAACATGGCGTTTTCCATTAATATCAAGACGATTGCACCCAGTATTATATTGATTTATGCTCTTTTGTTCAATTTCCATTTTTAGTCGCTTTTTAATCCTCATTGATGACTTAAAATCAAAATGAAATACTTCAAAGTCTTTTCAAGTCCTCAAGAAATCCCCCGACATCCTCAATCGTCAACGGAAATGGAGTATAAAATTTCTCCCAATTTTAACTTCTTTTACTGTTACCTAACGAATTACTATGTGACAATTTAAAGAAAAAAATTCTTAAATATGGTGTTTTTCCTAAAACTGTATTCCCTTCATAATTCTATAATTATCAACTAAATTACCAAGAATCTGTCTGACATTGATCAAAATATTGATATATATTGTAAAAAACTGAATTATATAGTGAAGACCGTCAAATTATTTTCTCTTCTTGATTCTATAATTGACAAATGACAGATAAACGAAAGTTGTTAATTATTAGATTTTTATAATTTACATATATTAGAAGAAGAATTCTATAACTATAAAATAAATTACAATTCTTATTTGATAAATTAATTTAAAATTAAAAATAAGCAGGCATGAAGTTTCTTTTTTAATATTAAAGTTTAGCAACAGTAAATAATTATAGTAGAAAATTTAATAATCAGTAAAAAAGGGAAACCATTTTGCGTCGAGATTTTTTTTTTAATCGAGACTATAAAATTTTACTTACCAGAATAAAATAAGAGGCCAATGGGTTGTCTTGTTTTAAATTGCAGACTAATCGATTCTTGTGTGCTTAGGACAGGATCACCTTTACTCAAGTCTATCGTTAAGTATTCTGTCCCTCTAAACGACGCTTCCGAGGGTGCTTTATCTGCAACAAAGTGTAGAAAATTTTTTTTTTATTTTGAAACACACAAAATGAACATAAAATGAGAAAAAAAACATTAATGAAATTTTCACACAAAAATTAACTCTAATGAATTATGAATTTTCTTCTGTTTGAAAATAAAATTGCTAAACAACATAAATTTTCACTTTTTTTTATTAAATTAGTTACAGTAAATAAAATACAATTAAGTTACAGAAATAAATTTTTTTTTATTAATAAATTTTATCTAGAAATATTTTCAATTTTGTACATCGAATCCAATTTTAGTTTGTAAGTTTTTAATATCTAGATTTTTTAATTAAAAACTAAAACTCGACAAACAAAACTATTCGACAATAATAAAATATTTTCAAATTGAAATTTTTAATAATGAAATATTTTACAAATTGGGTTGAAGTTACAAATTAATTTAACAATATTAAAATTTTAACATAAAATTTTTAATTATCTTTCCTTTATTGTTTCTAGTGAAAATTTTGTTGCTTTTCACGGTGAAAATTGCCAGCGTGCATTTTTAATTTTTCAGATTAAAAAAACCTTTAAAATAGTTGCAAGTTATTTTCTACAAAAATTTAATTTTGAAACATTTAAACATAAATTTAATTTTGCTATTTATTAACATAATCTTAATTATGTTATTATTTTTTATCTTAATTATGTAATTAACCTTATCTTAATAATTATAACATTATAAAGAAAAAAATATATTTTTTTATTTTCAAAAAAAAGGTAGTCAAAATTTAGACACTTTTAACAAACCTTACAATGAGAAATGACAAATTTTTCAAAAGAGTATCTTTTTTTGAATTTTATTAAATCAACATCCAATTCTATATGTATATTATTTTTTTAAAATTCTTCTGAAAAGAGTAAGCCATGTGATAGAAAAGTAAAGCTCTAATGAAAACGGACGACGACAGATTAAATTGAAACTTTTTTCAGAAAAAAAGCTGCTTCAATTATCTTCTTTTGTATATTATCTATATAATAATAATAATAATAGTAAGAATAATAATGATAATGATAATAATATATAAAAGACGATATAAGAACACATCAATAGAGGGGGAGACACAATATGTGGATTATATGATGGTAAAGAAAAATGTCAAATAGAATGAGAATAATATCATATCACTTTTTTTCAACCAACTAAAATTTTAGACGATAGAAAATTGTGTGCTCTGGTATATATTTCGTACTTCCAAAATATCGCTGTGAACCGATGAAATTTCTCTTATTCTCCCTTTAGCCGAAACTAGATCCACCCCCCTCATTATTTCCCATCTTTCCATTGTTATCAGGCGACCAAACAAAAGTCCGCGCATCCCTAACTCCCTCCCTCGTCCCTACGTCGTCGGAACAAAAAGACCATAAGACAAGCTTAATGGCTTTGGCATAAAGCCAACTTTCGTGGCGGACTTGAATGCGACCGGTTGTCGATTGAAATGTTCATTGCTTCCGCAAATCATCCCCCGATCCATGAACCGTTCATCTACGACTGGATCATCGCTCCATTATGTCTTATCCGAACTACATTCCTTCCTTTTACCCCAACTGTACTCACCCTCGATTTTGATCTAATATGAGAAAAATGTTACATTTTTTTGACATTAAGGTGTTAGGAAAAAAGATATTAGAATTCTCTTTTTTTGGAGAATATTGACATTTTTTATATTTATTATCATGATGACGAATCACTTCTCGTCATATCAAGAAAAAAATTATTAAATATGGTGTTTTTCCTAAAAACTATTTTCTTTTCGTAATTCTATAATTATCAACTAAATTACCAAGAATATTTTGAGAAATTAAAATAACCAAAAATCTTTTAACTGATTCAAACAGCGAGTAATAAATTAGACCGTAACAATAGTTTATAAACTAAAAAAATTTAGCTAAGTAACCTGATGGAGTTTTTGTCCTCTCTTTTTAGTGATAATTAATTATAAAATCCCCTGGATGTGCTACTTGAAATTCACTTTCTGAATCACTTTCCATCATATTAAGAAAAAAATTATTAAATATGGTGTTTTTCCTAAAAACTATTTTCATTTCGTTATTCTATAATTATCAACTAAATTACCAAGAATATTCTAAGAGCTTAAAATAACAAAAAACCTTTTAACTGATTGAAACAGCAAGTTATGAATTAGACGATAACAATAGTTTACTAACTAAACAAAATTAGCTAAGTAACCTGATTGAATTTTTGTCTTCTCCTTTTAGTGGTAATTAGTTATAAAATCCCCTGGATGTGCTACTTGAAATTCTGATTGACTTAACGTCACTCTTTGGATAATGTGCTTAAGTTGTTAAACGGACACATCTAGATTCTCTCAACGCATCTACCCTCTCTATTTTTAACGAAGGTCACAATTGTTATACACAGCACCAAGGACTATTTATAACAGTATAATATATATATATATATATATATAGTCACACGTGTACCACATTACCCCCATGTCGGTAAGCTTGACAAGCTTTCCATTTTCAAAAGTTAAACATGTTTGCGAAACTCTTCAATAAAAGTTAACTAACTGGAAACTAAATTTTAAGCTAAAAACTCAATTCGTGTGTGGACAATGCGGTTTTTTTGGTTAACATCCCATCTCTCCCTTTATTTTTGAAACTAAAAACTCTGCACTCTTGCAAACAAGCGGTAAAACTTTTGATTGTAAATACATTTATCATTGAAATATGTTGTTAAACGTATTAAAAATAAAAAAAGGGTCTGTACTCTCAGTAATTTAGTAGTGAGTTTTCAATTTTTTAATTCTACTGAACAAATGAATAACAAACTTTCAAGATGAGATCCTCGATTTTTAACTTTAAATTCTCAATTACTGGTCTCAATATAACTCTATAGAATATATTTTTTCCCTCATAACTATATTTTTATATAGTTCAAATATATGTAAACTAGTAAATTGGACTTTGAGAAATAGAAATATTGACTTCATCGACTCCCTATATATTTTATAGAAAAAAAAGTATCCGTAGCAAAGTTTGATTAAAATTCCCTCCAACTTTAGTTACTTTCAACATGCTATTAACTTTCTGTCACTTCAGTAACTTGAAACTAGCTTTACAAAAAAAAATATTAACAATTTTGCATGGCGCTATTAAAATTTGTTATAACTCCACGTCACTTTGAAAATTTTCATAATTCTGGAATATACTTTAGCACTAAAAAATAATGAAAGTCAGTTTTTAAAAACTTAAAGAAAATTAGCACAAATACAATTCAGTATTTCGTAAAATGATTTTGAAAAATAAAGGAAATATTGATTTCTAATGCAAGAAAAAACTTCCAATGGAAAACAAAAAAAAATTTGTCATTCTGTATATTTCATAAAATAGTTGCCTTGATCCTTTTTTTTCTTAAAAAAAAAGAAAAGAAAAGCAATACTGTGGGATCTGCTTCGCTGAGGATTCTGGCATCGACTTTATATTGCAGACTCTCCTCCAAAAACCCCTTCCCTTCACTTCCATTTCTCTTTTTGAAATAAATCGAGATAGTCCAGACGATAAAAACTGAAGTGGCAGAGTCAAATTTATTGAAGGGGATTCCAATGTTCTCGGGATTTTCTCCTGGCGAGAGAAACCAACCTTGAAAGGATAAAATGTTCTCTTTTTCGGAAAGTCGTATATGAGCTTTCAGTAAAGAGCACTCGACCAATTTAAATTGTTTTATTAATTTTTTCTACCGATATGTTACGTTGAATCGTAACCTACTTTCTTAACGTTTTAGTTCCTCGTTTTAAAGAAGAATTCTTATTTGGGATGAGGATAGGGTTGTAAAAAGATTGCTCATCTAATTAATTGTATGGTTACTCGAAACAAGTAAAATAATTAAAATAATAATAAACCTTCTTTTCACATTTTTTCCTGACTTATTTCAGATTATAGTGAGGAGAATTAACTCAGTTTGAAAAAGATTATTAATGAAGAGGATGTTCTTATGTCAAAATGAAAAATAAAGTCAGTTTTAAGATGGTGTCGTTCGAATAAAAACACTAAATGGCACTAGCTGAGAATTTCATTTTTCCGACATTCACCATTCGAGCTTAATGTCATAAGTCGTTTTGTTAGAAGACGAAAAATAGCTGACAGAAATGTCGATGTGAGGATAAGTCTTTATGAAATGCTTCGGATATCGAGAAAGCCATTAACCACCTTTCCATAGCCTAAGGAGATTTCACAATTTGTTTCCTTTTTTCTGCTTCTGGGAAAAAGGAAAGGAGAGAAAAAAATGTATTCCTGGATAGAAGTCAAGAAATGTCTAAGATATTTTTTTCTGCGAAGCCTAGTATGAATTTTTAGGCGATCGTCTTGAATTGCCTTATCCAGGAAGAAGACGTTCAGCAATTGCTGTACAGGAATTCTCATAATAAAAGGAATACAAAGATCCTAGAAATCTGCAAATTACAAATAGAATGCTATTTAAGGCTACCAAAAACTGTTGAGTCAGACAATCACATAATTCAATACTAATCTCGAAATATTCGAATCTTTTGAAAGGCAATGTATATAATAGATAAAGTGAACAAAGAGAGGATAAGAGAGTCGATGGACCGTGGATAGACTTAACCTCTCGAACTCGACAAGACTTCCTGGTGACCCTCGACCCGTAAAGTTTTCTACTATTCCGAGTCCACTCAAAGTCTTGGAATCTACCATTTAATCACTATCTCTAGACTTTACAAAGTCGAAATTCCTGAACAAGCATTCAATGCTCTTCAATAATGCTTCGTATCTCACTCAAAGACATCTTTCTTCTATTTCAAATGACAAAGAATAGATTTCCGATTTACTATTATTAGTATTTCTTTTGTTTCTACTATTCTTATTTTTGTCCGAAGTTAACAAATGTAAAATTTGTGATAAAACGAAGAAAGTGTTTCACAGTTATAGTGATGTTTTAAATTTGAATGAGTAAAGAGATAGTCTGAAGACGTGTAAGGTCATGGAGGCAT